ATAGGGTCGGAAATGACTCCTTCACATTCTTTTAAGCTTCCGACTGAAGGTGAAACACCATTTTTTAATCAATATTAACTATATTTTTCCATGCAAATTTTTTCGACAAATCAAAATTTAAAAATCTCATAACTAAGTCAATACTGCATTAAATTCAATTCGGAAAACGCTTGTATGTTCATTTTTAGCAGGTTTATAAAACTGCCTTTGATTTATAGGGTCGGAAATGACTCCTTCACATTCTTTTAAGCTTCCGACTGAAGGTGAAACACCATTTTTTAATCAATATTAACTATATTTTTCCATGCAAATTTTTGACAAATCAAAATTTAAAAATCTCATAACTAAGTCAATACTGCATTAAATTCAATTCGGAAAACGCTCGTATGTTCATTTTTAGCAGGTTAATAAAACTGCATACTCCATTTAAAATGTGAATTTTTGGCCGATTTTTGCAAATTTTAATGATGTAACCCCTTTCCTTTTTTTCAGAAAATGGGAAATTTCTGAAAAAAATTTCTTTTGCCCAGAGATAGCTAGAAAGATTCGCCTGTTGATGCTGATCAAGAATATATATAATTTATAGGGTCGGAAATGACACCTTCACATTCTTTTAAGCTTCCGACTGAAGGTGAAATACCATTTTTTAATCAATATTAACTATATTTTTCCATGCAAATTTTTTCGACAAATCAAAATTTAAAAATCTCATAACTAAGTCAATACTGCATTAAATTCAATTCGGAAAACGCTCGTATGTTCATTTTTAGCAGGTTAATAAAACTGCATACTCCATTTAAAATGTGAATTTTTGGCCGATTTTTGCAAATTTTAATGATGTAACCCCTTTCCTTTTTTTCAGAAAATGGGAAATTTCTGAAAAAATTTCTTTTGCCCAGAGATAGCTAGAAAGATTCGCCTGTTGATGCTGATCAAGAATATATATAATTTATAGGGTCGGAAATGACACCTTCACATTCTTTTAAGCTTCCGACTGAAGGTGAAATACCATTTTTTAATCAATATTAACTATATTTTTCCATGCAAATTTTTCGACAAATCAAAATTTAAAAATCTCATAACTAAGTCAATACTGCATTAAATTCAATTCGGAAAACGCTTGTATGTTCATTTTTAGCAGGTTTATAAAACTGCCTTTGATTTATAGGGTCGGAAACGACTCCTTCACATTCTTTTAAGCTTCCGACTGAAGGTGAAATACCATTTTTAATCAATATTAACTATATTTTTCATGCAAATTTTTTCGACAAATCAAAATTTAAAAATCTCATAACTAAGTCAATACTGCATTAAATTCAATTCGGAAAACGCTTGTATGTTCATTTTTAGCAGGTTATAAAACTGCCTTTGATTTATAGGGTCGGAAATGACTCCTTCACATTCTTTTAAGCTTCCGACTGAAGGTGAAAACCATTTTTTAATCAATATTAACTATATTTTTCCATGCAAATTTTTTCGACAAATCAAAATTTAAAAATCTCATAACTAAGTCAATACTGCATTAAATTCAATTCGGAAAACGTTGTATGTTCATTTTTAGCAGGTTTATAAAACTGCCTTTGATTTATAGGGTTGGAAACGACTCCTTCACATTCTTTTAAGCTTCCGACTGAAGGTGAAATACCATTCTTAATCAATATTAACTATATTTTTTCATGCAAATTTTTTCGACAAATCAAAATTTAAAAATCTCATAACTAAGTCAATACTGCATTAAATTCAAATTCGGAAAACGTTTGTATGTTCATTTTTAGCAGGTTTATAAACTGCCTTTGATTTATAGGGTCGGAAATGACTCCTTCACATTCTTTTAAGCTTCCGACTGAAGGTGAAATACCATTTTTTAATCAATATTAACTATATTTTTCCATGCAAATTTTTTCGACAAATCAAAATTTAAAAATCTCATAACTAAGTCAATACTGCATTAAATTCAATTCGGAAAACGCTTGTATGTTCATTTTTAGCAGGTTTATAAAACTGCCTTTGATTTATAGGGTCGGAAATGACTCCTTCACATTCTTTTAAGCTTCCGACTGAAGGTGAAACACCATTTTTTAATCAATATTAACTATATTTTTCCATGCAAATATTTTTGACAAATCAAAATTTAAAAATCTCATAACTAAGTCAATACTGCATTAAATTCAATTCGGAAAACGCTCGTATGTTCATTTTTAGCAGGTTAATAAAACTGCATACTCCATTTAAAATGTGAATTTTTGGCCGATTTTTGCAAATTTTAATGATGTAACCCCTTTCCTTTTTTTCAGAAAATGGGAAATTTCTGAAAAAAATTTCTTTTGCCCAGAGATAGCTAGAAAGATTCGCCTGTTGATGCTGATCAAGAATATATATAATTTATAGGGTCGGAAATGACACCTTCACATTCTTTTAAGCTTCCGACTGAAGGTGAAATACCATTTTTTAATCAATATTAACTATATTTTTCCATGCAAATTTTTTCGACAAATCAAAATTTAAAAATCTCATAACTAAGTCAATACTGCATTAAATTCAATTCGGAAAACGCTCGTATGTTCATTTTTAGCAGGTTAATAAAACTGCATACTCCATTTAAAATGTGAATTTTTGGCCGATTTTTGCAAATTTTAATGATGATAACCCCTTTCCTTTTTTTCAGAAAATGGGAAATTTCTGAAAAAAATTTCTTTTGCCCAGAGATAGCTAGAAAGATTCGCCTGTTGATGCTGATCAAGAATATATATAATTTATAGGGTCGGAAATGACACCTTCACATTCTTTTAAGCTTCCGACTGAAGGTGAAATACCATTTTTTAATCAATATTAACTATATTTTTCCATGCAAATTTTTTCGACAAATCAAAATTTAAAAATCTCATAACTAAGTCAATACTGCATTAAATTCAAATTCGGAAAACGTTTGTATGTTCATTTTTAGCAGGTTTATAAAACTGCCTTTGATTTATAGGGTCGGATATGACTCCTTCACATTCTTTTAAGCTTCCGACTGAAGGTGAAACACCATTTTTTAATCAATATTAACTATATTTTTCCATGCAAATTTTTTCGACAAATCAAAATTTAAAAATCTCATAACTAAGTCAATACTGCATTAAATTCAATTCGGAAAACGCTCGTATGTTCATTTTTAGCAGGTTAATAAAACTGCATACTCCATTTAAAATGTGAATTTTTGGCCGATTTTTGCAAATTTTAATGATGTAACCCCTTTCCTTTTTTCAGAAAATGGGAAATTTCTGAAAAAAATTTCTTTTGCCCAGAGATAGCTAGAAAGATTCGCCTGTTGATGCTGATCAAGAATATATATAATTTATAGGGTCGGAAATGACACCTTCACATTCTTTTAAGCTTCCGACTGAAGGTGAAATACCATTTTTAATCAATATTAACTATATTTTCCATGCAAATTTTTTCGACAAATCAAAATTTAAAAATCTCATAACTAAGTCAATACTGCATTAAATTCAAATTCGGAAAACGTTTGTATGTTCATTTTTAGCAGGTTTATAAAACTGCCTTTGATTTATAGGGTCGGATATGACTCCTTCACATTCTTTTAAGCTTCCGACTGAAGGTGAAACACCATTTTTTAATCAATATTAACTATATTTTCCATGCAAATTTTTCGACAAATCAAAATTTAAAAATCTCATAACTAAGTCAATACTGCATTAAATTCAATTCGGAAAACGCTTGTATGTTCATTTTTAGCAGGTTTATAAAACTGCCTTTGATTTATAGGGTCGGAAATGACTCCTTCACATTCTTTTAAGCTTCCGACTGAAGGGGAAATACCATTTTTTAATCAATATTAACTATATTTTTCCATGAAAATTTTTTCGACAAATCAAAATTTAAAAATCTCATAACTAAGTCAATACTGCATTAAATTCAATTCGGAAAACGCTCGTATGTTCATTTTTAGCAGGTTAATAAAACTGCATACTTCATTTAAAATGTGAATTTTTGGCCGATTTTTGCAAATTTTAATGATGTAACCCCTTTCCTTTTTTCAGAAAATGGGAAATTTCTGAAAAAATTTCTTTTGCCCAGAGATAGCTAGAAAGATTCGCCTGTTGATGCTGATCAAGAATATATATAATTTATAGGGTCGGAAATGACTCCTTCACATTCTTTTAAGCTTCCGACTGAAGGTGAAATACCATTTTTTAATCAATATTAACTATATTTTTCCATGCAAATTTTTTCGACAAATCAAAATTTAAAAATCTCATAACTAAGTCAATACTGCATTAAATTCAATTCGGAAAACGCTCGTATGTTCATTTTTAGCAGGTTAATAAAACTGCATACTTCATTTAAAATGTGAATTTTTGGCCGATTTTTGCAAATTTTAATGATGTAACCCCTTTCCTTTTTTTCAGAAAATGGGAAATTTCTGAAAAAATTTCTTTTGCCCAGAGATAGCTAGAAAGATTCGCCTGTTGATGCTGATCAAGAATATATATAATTTATAGGGTCGGAAATGACTCCTTCACATTCTTTTAAGCTTCCGACTGAAGGTGAAATACCATTTTTTAATCAATATTAACTATATTTTTTCATGCAAATTTTTTCGACAGATCAAAATTTAAAAATCTCATAACTAAGTCAAAACTGCATTAAATTCAATTCGGGAAGCGCTCGTATGTTCATTTTTAGTTGGTTAATAAAACTGGAAACAAAACCCAAGATGACGGGCAAGGGAGGTTCTTGGATAGGATATGGGAGAAGTACATCGTAATCCTATCAGGGAAGCTTCTTAACAAAAATCTCTTGAGATTCCCCCACACACACTTAGGGCAATTAGTTCTTAGTTTCGTAGAGTTAGCATTACGTCAGGATATCCATTAGCCAGCATGTAAGTCTTGTACCATATGTACATCGTTTTGTACATTACGACTACGAATACTACCAATAAAAACGAAACGAAAAGTTAAACTTTTAGCTTTATACATAAATAATTTATATATAATATATTCGGTATATATGTCATGTGTATAGCTTATAATACAATCAATTCCATGGAATGCTAAGTCTCCCAGAAGGTACAAAAGTTTCGGTATTACAACCAATCCTTGGCTTAGGCATCTATGAGAGGCGCACGATCCTGTGCAGCTTCTTCAGCTGCAACACCAGCACCTCCGGCTGGTGAGGGTGTTCTCGTGGCAACAGGCGAGTTCCAAGATTGGACACCTGTTCGGCCGAACAGCATGAAAAGCAGGTTGCCAATGAAGTAGACAAAGGCGGTGAAGAAGAACACAATGCGCCATTGATCGGGATTCGTCTGAAAAAGAATTATGAACAGAATTTATATATGTTAAGATCAAGGGTTATATATCCTCCATACCTCATCCCATACAATTAGTCCCACAATTAGGGGCGCCAGAATGCTCATAAAGTTCGCCGCACAATTCGTGATCCCCATCAGAGTGCCAGCGAAATTCGGAGATAAATCGATGTGATTTACATGGAAGCCCAGATACGTGGCCGAATTGGTGGCCACTGCCGCCGTCAGCAGTCCAATGGCCAGCCGGACATTGGCCTCACCCTGGGTGATGTAGCCCAGCCCAACCAAGGCCAGCATGGGCAGCCACATGCCCAGCGTGTTGAAGAACTTGCGGGAGAAACTGAGAGGTATCACCGTACTCCTTTGCTTCAGTACGTCCGACAGCCAAATGAAAACGCAGGTCAACAGGATCATGGCAAAGTAGGGTAGGGCGGACAGCGGCCCATTGCTCTTGATGTCCATGCCCAGGACGTTCTTCATGAAGGTGGGAATCTCCGTGAGCAGCGTCCAGAAGCCCCAGTTATTGGCACAGTGGGCCAGGACGAGCACCAGAAACGGTCCCGAGGTGAGGATACTCCACCAGGGAGTCTGCATTCTCGGCTGCTCCTCTCGCCCCGCATCCGACGACCTTCTCGCCTGTCCCGACGATTCAATGTAGCGTCTTTCGCTTGGCGAGATTGAAGGATGTTGGGCCGGTGTGCTGGAGCAGTAGAAGTACCACACAAAGGCCCACAGTATGCCAGCACAGCCGGGTGCATAGAAGGTGCTGGGCCAGCCCAGCGAGGAGGAACATATGTAGCCACTGACCGATAGCATGACCACGGTGCCAAACTGAGATCCCGAATAGCAATAGCCCACCAGCCGGCCGCGCTCCTCTGCTGGCGCCCACTTCGATAGGAACGTGTGAGTGGAGGGAAAAATCACTCCCTGGCAGAGGCCCTGGACAGCCCGGAGCACCACCACCAGCTTCCAGCCTCCATAGGCGGCACAAAAGGGTGTGAGCAGGGCCAGGCAGGAACAAATGAGCACGCCGTAGAAGAGCATGTACTTGGCTCCATAGATGGCGGACAGATGGCCGCCGGGTACCTGGGTGACCACATAGCCCCAAAAGAAGCTGCTCAACAGGTACGACTTGGTGCTCTCATTCCAATCGTATTCCTGCAATGGAAATTGTAAAATACATAAGCATTCAGGCTTAAATTGGTTCGAATTTAATATTGGATTCATTAAGTGTGGTGGCCATGTTCTAAATATATTTAAAATTATCAAATTAAGAATTTTAAAAACAGAGTTAATCACTTTTTCTTAATAACTGAGATTTGTAATTGTGGTTTCTTAAGTTTCTTAAGAATGTGAAACCATATGTCATAAAATAAAAATCTAAAAAAAACTAAAGTGATTCGAATTACTGAATCATTGAATTCACAGTCTGTAAATCGTTATTTTCGATATGTTAAAGGGTTTTTCAATAAATAAATGTTTAAAAACCTTACAACTTTGACGAAAAAGCATTAATTCTATTTCGGAAAGCAGGCCTTTGTTAGTTTTTATTAGGCTAATAAATCTGCATACTCAAATTAAAATGTAAAAAATAAACATTTTTTGACAATTTTAACGATGTAACCCCTTATAAAATGTTGAAGAAATTGGCAAAAAATTATTTTTTTCTTCTTCATGCCTAGAAAGAATAGCCTGATCATGAATATATATAATTTATAGGGTCGGAAATGAGTTACTTCAGACTGAAATTATAATACTCTGGTAAAGTAAAACGAAATTATAACCAGCCACTCCCATACTTGTAAATATAAAAATTATTATAGAAAAGGTATAAATAACGTACCGGAAAATCCGGATTGCTGGCATTCCGATCCGTCATGGCCACAATGGCCACCGAGAGATTCACGCGCAGGGAGTAGGCCACCGCCAGCCCGAAGAACACCAGGATGCACTGCAGGTGACGTACACCGAACCGAGGACCTGCAAATGCGCAATTCATCCACGTACATACATATGTCAATAGAGGCAAACAAAGGCCACAAGGTCGCGGACTCACTCACCCGTGTTCCCTATCTGCTGATAGCCATTGCGACCGCAACAGGAAAGGCAGCCGAGCACCATTTCGCAGGTGCGGATGCAGTTGCAGGTGCAATCTTATCCACGTAGCCAACTTGGATGCTGTATTAGATGAGCTGGAAGTGGGGGCGGGCGGCGAACTGGGTGGAAAGCGTCGGACGAACGTCCAAACAATAATAACAGCTGATTGACTCGCAATGTTGCTGCTGGCCACGCATACAGGTGCAGAACTATCGAAAATAATGCTCTAACAAGTGTGTCGATAATTCAAGCGACAGGGTCACACTGGCAGGCAAAACACGTTTATCGATAACACTCAGCGCCTGTGGCGCCGTCTTTCTATCAAATTCAAACTTCACTTCCCAAAAATACAAAACACCAATGATTTCGGTACAGTTTGACTCGTTTTCAGCTGCGAATTGAGCTGTTTTATTCATGGCTTGAATTGTCTTCATCTTTCTTTCTGTTTGATTTCTTTTCTCTTTTTTTGCCTTTTTTAGTTTACTTTCTTTCATCACAAGTTTGTTTTTTTTGTTAATTCCTAACTTAAGCCTACAAACATATAACAATTACTAGAGTCGTTGGGTAGCAGACGGCTCTGTCCCTATTTACAATGAACGATTTCTCAATTTGCAAGTTGAATTGGTGTTGTTTTTCTTTCGTTATCTTTTTCTTTTGCGGATTATGTACATTACGGAAAATACTGCAAACAATAATAATTTACGCTGGTCTTACGGACTAAGCAATTACCGTATAATATCGCTAATGGAAGCACGCGATCGTCCCTAAAGTTAACTTTCAGCTCTCGTCTCTAACTAACTAACTAAACATACGAACTACGAAACAACAGCCCGGTTGGATGACTCTCGAGGCGGTTCCAGCCTCTCGCTCTCTCTTTATTTGACCTGGCCGTTGGGCGACAGGGGCGTGCCCTGCTCCGCATCCTCCCTGTTGTCACGCGGGGAGTCCCACCATTGCACCTCCGTTCGGCCGAAGATCACAAACAGCAGGTTGCCCACAAAGTAGAAGGCGGCGGCCAGGAAGAACACCAATCGCCAGTCGCCCACGTTTTCCTGTAGAGTAGAGGAATTACTCATTAGTAAGGAGTTCCCGGAGAGAACTAACCATCCGAACCCACCTTATCCTGGACAATCAGACCCACAATCAGGGGGGCAATGCCACTCATCACATTCGCAGCTCCGTTGGTCAGACCCATCAGAGTTCCGGCATAGTTGGGCGACAGATCGATGTGGTTCACCTGGAAGCCCAGATAGGTCGCCGCACTGATGCCCACCGTCAGGGTGAGCAGGGCCACGGCCAGCGGGGCGTCCTCCTGGGGCACATAGCCCAAAGCGATCAGCGAACACATGGGAATCCAGTGGCCTATGCTGTTGAAGAGCTTCCGGTTGAAGGACAGCGACAGGCCCTCCTTCCTTTGCAGGACCTTGGACAGCCAGACGAAGAAGAAGCTGAGCAGGAGCATCACCAGGTAGGGCAGCGAGGAGAGCAGGGCACTCGACTTGATGTCCACGTGATAGATGTTCTTCATGTAGCTGGGAATCTGGGTGAGCAGCAGCCAGAAGCCGAACATGTGGGTGCAGTGCACCACCAGGAGGGACAGGAAGGGCAGGGAGCTGAAGATGGCCACCCAAGGTGTCGGGGCCAGCTTCTCGGCGGACTGCATCTTGCCATCGCTGCGGGATTCGGTGATGAACTTCAGCTCTCCGGGCGAAATCAGGCGGTGCTCCTCGGGCGTACTGGCCGAAAACAGGTACCAGAAGATCATCCACAGGAAACCGCAGGCTCCTCCCAGATAGAAGATGCTCGGCCAGCCCATAAAGGAGTCTGCGATGAATCCGCTCGTGGCCAGCATCACCACCGTTCCGAACTGGGCACCCGAGTAGCAGATGGTTCCCAGGATGCCTCTCTCCTCGGCGGGCGACCACTTGGACAGCAGAGCATGCGTGGCGGGATGGACTGCACCCTGGCTCAGACCCATGACGAAACGCATGGCGCACAGAGCGAACCATCCTCCAAGTTTCAGGGACAGTGGCGACAGCATGGTGATAATGGCAGCGATGCCCAAGCCCCACATCAGCAGGATCTTGGCTCCATAACGTTGGGCGATGTAACCACCGGGCACCTGGGTGACGACGTAACCCCAGAAGAAGCTGCTCAGCATGGCGGATTTCTGGAACTCGTTGAAGGTGTAGTAGCGCTGTGGAGGAGAAGGGAGTTTAGTATTACATAAACCTTTAGAATCGATCTAAAACTTGGTTTTAGTTTTGACTTTAATAAGCTTAAGTGTTTAAGTAAATAGAATTCAAGTTCAAAGTAAAAACCTCAAAAACCGCATGATAATAAGCATATCTCAAGGGAGAAAAACATATTCATATTACTTTAGTTAAAGGAAATGAATAATTATATCTGATTTCTGATTCTGATAGTATGCGATTCCTTATCAATATTTTTCGTTTTATTAATGGGTTTTATCACTTCAATTATGATTATCGTTAAGAGCTTATCAAAGTACTTAAAACCAGGAAATTTCAGACACTCACCTCCGAATTGAAGAGATCGAGTCCAAAGCCATCATCATCATCCTGTCCACTGAGATCCGTATCATTCTCGGTGCCGTTGGACGCCGGGTGCTCCGTCATGGCCACCACAGCCACACTGAGGTTCACCCGCCAGGCGTAGCTCATCGCCAGGCAGAAGAAGCACAGGATGCACTGCACATGCCTCACGCCGAAGAATTTCTCTGCAAGAAGAGGAGGATACGCAGGCGTTGAGTTCGGGAAAATACTGAACATGTGGCGCTCTCTTATCACTCGGAGGAGCACTCTCTCTACACTTGTATCTTTGTATCTGTATCTCGCTCTCTCTCGCTTTCAGCTTCTCAGTGGGCCTAAACTGGTAGCCATGTAAGTATGTGGGGCGCGTTTATTTATAAAACACTTTGACTATGTCAAAATCTTGTTCACGGCACGCACATGCGATCGAGCCAGAGAGAGAGAGTGAGATGGAGATGGAGAGAGATGGAGACATCACATACACATGGACACCCACTCGGGCCAAAATCAAGAGAGACCCGGCCGATGTCTTTGTTGTGTAAACTGCAACTGCAACTGTGACTGTACTGTACAGATACCTATATCTACATACATATATACTGACATAAGACTACCTGATCGGGCGATCCTCACGTGACCATCCGATCGATCCGATGCGATCTCTCGACGGTATGTGGTCCGGTCTGGGCCTTACGCGGATTTGTTTTCGTGCATTTGGCTATTTTTAAACCCGACTTTGGCTCGCCATAAATGGCTTAGTCTTTATAAATAGGAGTCTTGGCTGATTGGGTGGTGTTGTGGTGGTGCAACACCGCTCCACCGCCGGCAACCTTGCAACGCGGCCTTACAAGGCGTTGGGGTCTATTGAACTCAACTCTGGCTTGATTCCAAAACCAATAATTAACTAACTACAGTCCAAAGTCTCGATACTCAAACTTCCTATCGAATGATTCATGTAACTTATAAAGCCTTATCTCTGTTATTCTGATTCCTTTGAAATTAAATTATGAATGAATAATTCCACAAAACCAACTTTGTGTTGATAAAGTAAAAAGCTTAAATAATTTTTAAAAATATATTTGCTTTATTACTTGTTGAAGCTCTACTGTATTTCCTATAATTCCTCATTTAAATTGCTGTCGAAATCGATTAAAAATTTTCCAAACAAAGACTTGTTGAAAATATATCTCAAAGATTTAAAGGCAATCTACCGAAGTTGGACTGTATTTCCAATAAATTCAAATTTGAATGGCCGCCCGAACTTTGAGCTCTCTCCCTGCTCCCTGTCTCCCCCACTTTCCACTTCCCTCTTCCATTTCCTCTTGACGAGGCGGTCTCTCCCTCTCTCTCTCTCTCTCTGTCTCGATCTCTCTCTGCGCTTCCACTGCCTGCCCGCCTGGTGGGGTTTATCGTGCTGAACGCGATGGATGACTCGTGGTCGTGTGAGAACGCTTTATCTGACACGTTTTTAAATTTATTTGCGCAATGTCTTCCCCCGCTACAGCGTAACACCCGAGCGAATTTATGGCCAAGATATAGGAACTTTTTTGTCTCGCGCTAAAGAGTTTACCGTACGGCCGTACCGACCGAAAATAAAGCCCCGTATTGCACACCCAATCTTCGACGAAATTCGCAACCCAAATCAATCAGCATTTGTGGCGCGGAGTCCAGAGAAGTCTCCAGCTTTGAGTGTTTATTGGAGACCCATTTATGTGTATATAGTATACGATGGTCGAGTGTATTTTGATTGATTGCCAGGGACTATGGCACCGACTATGGTGACTGTACTTTCGGGTGGCATTAGGTGTGGGAGTGGGGACAACCGAAGGACACGGCGCACACAACAACACAACAATAATAACGGTAACTGAGTCAAGTGTGTGCCGGCCGTATTGATAGTACCGATAGGCACCGATAAAAACTGGAACGAAGCCAAGCGGAGGTTTCCAGGTGATAAGATTATCTAACCAACTATCACTCCCGTTACAGAGCAAAGAAAGAAAGAGAGCACCCTTTGTTTACCGTTAGTTGTTTAGCTTTACAACTGTAAGTTCCGTCGGCGGGGTTTATTTAGCTTATCAGCTGACTTAGTCAATCGCCCCCTCATTCCATTGTGCCCCGTGCCAGCGGTTTTCTATTTAAAGTTTTCTCATTTTCATTGGCGCAGAGACACTGCTCCCCCTCCCCCGTATACTCTTCTCTCAGTTTCCTCTTATTTAATTTCTTTTTTGTTTATTTTTATCACCCGAAAGTGCTAAAATGTGATTTTATTTTGTTTGTCAGCGTAACCAAAAAAAAGAAACGAAAAAGAAATAAAGAATACCGAGTAAATTGAGGAAAAATTAAATTGTACGAACGCTCCGAAGGATGCATTTGCACTGCAGTGGAGGTCGTCTAAGCCAAAGCAAATGTGAATGCATAATTACGTGTTTTTCAAACTTTTCAGATGGAATATGGAATTTGCTACAAATACCATATTGAGATAGAAATATGGGAGTGCTGTGACTGTGACTGTGACTGTCACTGTGACTGTGTGCTGGAGAACCAATTAAGCGGCTTCCGGCAACAAAAGCAACAACAGCACAGCACCCAAGCTCGAATCGGATCGGATTGGATCGGATCGAGTTGGAAGCTCGTCGTGGAGCTTACATAAGACACGTGCTTTTCGCACTCACTTTAAGGGGGGTTGGAGAACTTAAGGGGGGAGGAATCAAAATGCATCTATTGTGCTCCATCCCAAGGGGGGTGCGGGGAGTACTCACCGTTGGCGTATTTACCACCCGTTTTCACCATGGTCAATGCGGTGGTCATGTGTGCGGCGCGGGTTGATTTATAATTTGATTTTTATTTTAGATTTAGATTTTTCGAAACCGTAACGTTCACGTTTTGGGTCACTGGAAATCGTCGGTATCTCACGCAACGTGTTCCGGTTCCGTTGCACACATGTGTGAGTGTGTGTGTGGCAGCTCTTTTTTCGCGTGTTTTCCCTACGATTTAATGACGGGAAAATCTTTGTGCTTCTCGAAGGATTCCGATCCAGAAACAACAAAAAATTCTAGACGTAGGACTTCTTTTTGGAAATCTCTATATATACATATGTATGTATATACTTGTATCTTGAATAACTTTTGCGAGCGGGTTTTGAAACGTTCTGGCGAACGACTGCGACTGCTTGAGTAACTGGCGGCGTCGATTCTTTTATAAATATGATCGAACTCGGGCCGAGCGGCGCTCTCTGCCACACACACACACACACACTCGCGCATGTCGTGAGAGAGAGCGTGTGTATCGCGTGAATTCGAATTCCGCTATCAGTCAAACCGAACACGCTGGCACACACTCACACACAAAAAACGTACACACAGCGAGCCGGCGAACGGGAGTAAGTAAACAAGACCAACACACCAGCACATGGTTATCAGTTCGGGCCAAGTGGTTGCCTTGCCTAGCCACCGCTCTCCTCTCCTCTCCTCTCCTCTCTAGGTCTCTTTTTTCCACTACCATTCCCGTTCCCGCTGCCCTTTCCCGTCCTTCCCGCCTTTCCCGCCTTTCTCAGCCTTTCTCAGCCTTTGTTGTTGCCAGTTTTCTGGGTAAATGCAGCAGGCTGTAAAATTAGTCACAGATTGCAGTGCTCTCCCTCAAATACCGCACTCTCTCTCGCTCTTTGACGGTCTCTCTGAAGATCTGGTATCTTCCAGATACAAATTCTGTCACTGAACATGAATGAAATTCATCCTTCGGTGTGTTACCAGGAAAACCAACCATAATCTTTAAGTAAACACCTCGAAATACATGCGAGTATCAAGTTTCAGACTAATTGGAGGAGTTTTTAGGGTAGAGATTGAGAAAACATGAAGATAGATCCATCATACAAGGAAATTAAATATAATTACAAAGTTTAATAAAGCCGTCTTTATATTACAAGGCAATTAATATGCATTTACAACTTTTCAGCTGGATTTATGGTTTCCTTGTAAGATGCTCCTACATCCAAGCCCCCAAAAATCTTCCTTCGTTTTCACTTTTCTGGGTAAATACAGATGAAAGACTGTTTTCACAGCGATAACATTGTAATGGAACCTCAGGCGAGGTCATTGTGTTCCATTGATAAGCGCCGCCAGCCTAGCACAACCTCATCCCAGTGAGATCCGATCCCGCTCTCTATCGGTGAAGCTGGTTTCTCTGTCCTGGGTAATGACATAACAAAGCCCTGAAACAAGTGATCATTCAGGGTTGATCGATAGGCACCCTTGATTCCCCTCACTCGCTTGCATAAGTCACAGAACCTTTGATCAATGCAATTTTCATTCCAAGATGACATGAGCTCCCTCTGCTCCCTGCTCTGCCATTTCTTTAATTACTTGACTTGTTTATTTGGCTTCCTTTATTTTTGTTCTTATTGGTTTTCCTCGCACCACTCACTCCCGCTCTTATCAAAATATAATTGCTGAAAATGAAATGTTTTAAACAAATTATTTGTGCTTATCAGCAACACTTCAGACTTTGATTTTCGACTAAGTATATATGAGCTCACTTGGCTCCACTTTTCGGTGCCCAGGAAGCGCTCTGCAAATTCATTCTGATTCTGACAATCATTACCTATGGGGATATGGTGGAGAGCAGGGAGAGGGAGAAGGGAGAGGGCTGGAGGTGGAGGTGGAGGAGGCCAGGAGTCAGGGGCCAATGACGACAGCCGCTGGAATTGATAACGACGATCCAGTACCCAGAATGGGCTTTACACAGTGGAAAAAGTATTTATTTATTTAAAAGAAAAATTCACCAAAATATGAGGATTACTAAAATATAATTTTATAAAAATTTCTACAATTACTCAAAAGGAGCTGAAGAATTATTTAAGAAAATAGTTTGCTAAAATCACTTTGAAATAAAATTTAAATATACCAAAGACCCAACTAGTGCCAATAATTTCTTGCAAAACATTTCTAATCTCAGGATTATGAACTTTTTAAACGCACAAACAAATAATAAAATAAAATAATGGTGATTGCTTGCTACAAATAAATTCCAGTGCAGTTTATTTTTACACGCAAATAGATAAGTTATTTATTTGCCGTGCATTGCGGCGATGGCAAATCAATTTTGGCACATGGCAGACACGTTTCGGGGCACGTTCATTCGCTGACGAGCGATCACGAATCTCGAGACGTCCCTTATCGTTTCCCTTCCTATTTCGAGTGAGTATTCGATTCATTCGATCCATAACCCATAAGCGCGAGCTTATCGCCACCGGATCTAGGCCAACAAAAAGAATTAACCATCGCGCCTAATGGGACATTTTTGGTAAATGATTTGACCGAATTGCGGATTTATGGCTGGCTAAATTTAGAGAGCGTTGGGAAACAAAGAAATCCCGGCGACGGCAATCTAATCGAATGCCGGTGACACGCCCACTCCAAAAGGCATTCAGTCTCAGTCACTGGCACCGATGGATGTGATTGTTACATTGCGCTTATCACTCCCTCCTGGCAAATGGCACACACAGTCAGAGCCCGCTTGACGTCAACTAATGAGGAGAGGATGAGGAGAGAGGTCGGGATGTAGTTCCAGGGCATCCATATCGCACACACACCTTGCCTTTGACTAATTAATATGCAGCCTGTTCTTACTCAAATTGTTCAAATATCGATCTAGCAGCGGCAGCGGAAAAATTATTTACGCTGCATTACGTATACGCCAGGTGTAACCAAACAAAACCCTCTAAATGAGAGCTAATTGTGAATGGGTGATATGATCCAGTGCATGGATGATTCTGAACTCCTTTCCAAGGTTTTTTCCATTGCTAATCATTATGTCCCCGGTCAGGTGGACATTGTTTGAGGCGTTGGCGCCAACAGCATTTTAATGACCTCCACAAATGTTGGTCTATGGAAATAAGTCATTGTTAGCACTCTATTCCAGAGGGTATATTCTATTCTAGAGAGCTTTGAAGTGCGCATTTACTGGGGACTTTATTTATGTTCTATGGGATAATGGTTGATTATAGGAACATCAACAACAACTTAGGGAAATTGATAGTTATTAATATTTTTAAATGACAATTATTTCTGCAAATTAAAGTTTACAAAAGTCATAACTAAGCCACAAATGCATTGATTTCAATTCGGAAAGCTGTTCTGTGCTAGTTTTTGCAAGGTTAATAAATTAAAAATGAAAGCATAGATTAATCGATTCGACTGCTTTGTAAGCTTCTGACTGAAATTATAATACCCTGCAACGGTTATAAAAAGAACTTATTGAAAAGCTATAATATATATATTTATATGTAAAAGAATATTTGAAATATTTTGTCGCATGAGCGTGCACCAAAAATATTCTTATTTATATCTGTCTGGCATTCTATATAGCATTACTGTATAAAAGGAATAATTCTATAGCATATAATAGATTTTGGGTGAAATATAAAATTGTACTTTTAAGTACTGTCAATAAATTCTACAAAGATTCTTTGCAATTAAAGAGCTACACAAAGCAGTGTTTGATATTAATTAACCAATTTATATTGCCTTGAGTTCAAAGAGCAAATGTTACTTTCATTGCTGCTTCCATGCTCAAGTTAATAAAAATTATTAATGAAGAGTTAAAATAACTCAGAGAGAAACACTCACCACTCACTCACCCACTTGGCCAGCAAATTCGTGAGGCTCTTATAAACTTCTACCGGTTTGTTGCCCAACATCTTTAAATAGCTGAAACTTTTCCATTCGGGTCCTAAAGATAGCCGTAATTAATTTCGATCAATATCAATATCAGTTACCGTTGGCCAATAGAGGCAATTGAATAGAGTATTCCCGAGTCGATCGCCGAGAGCGTTCTCGACCCTAGATTGGGTTTGCATGCAAATAAGTGTGAATAATCGATGGCAATATTGGAATTTATACCCATTTCGATCGGCATCTAAATGTTTGGGCAAATGTCCCATTACAGCGGGGGATCGGATCGGGATAAAGTCTACGGATTGTGTGAATTCCAAAGGCATATTTGAGCTGCCGACGGCGGAGTAATTGAATTGTGTTCAATCAGCGGCAATTGTCCACAGCGCCACCCGCCAATTTCAATTATCGCTGGAAACTTTTATCGGATATTGGAAGTGGAATTGGAATTGAAAATGGAAATGAAATGTACATATTGTGGGTGTGGCAGGCGGTGGGCGTGGCGCTTCATTAGCACCCCGTCATCTTCTTTCTGGTGACAACTATGTTAGGTCCGTCTGTGGGTCAGCCATTTGGCAAACACTCAAAGACGCGACACCCAATTTCGGGTATTTGCGGAAAAATGAATTCATCCGAAATTCATACGACAAACAAAAATTTGATTCAATTTAATTGCACAGGCCACAAGCCTTATAAATAGATCGCTTCGGAGCAGTTATTTTCGCCGGAGGTAGGAAAAATAATAATGATAGCCTTGAGTCACTCGGCAAATCTCGCCATGGACGCAGTGCCTCTGCAGAATCAAAGCTCCTCAGAATCTTATCGCACGGAAGATTTCGTGGGGGCCATAAAGAAAGGCGTAGTTCCTATTGTTCTAACTTATTGTGTAAGGCTTTATCATTTTGTGCAGGGGATTTATCACCCAGTCCACAGTACCACCCCCCTCCTGTGACATCACGCGGACACACGGGGAAAAATCTGTGTTAATTAATGGGACTCTAAAATTGTAAATAGGTAAAAATAGTACATTGTTGGGCTCTTGTGTTGTTTTTTTATAAGTAGATTAATTTCAGTGAAAACTATGAATTAAGAAATAAATATTTTATTACATTTTCTACTGCATTCTGCTTGCCAGATATAAGATTCATTATTGTGTACTTTAAGTAAGTTATAGGTTTAACAAGAAAATTAATAAAACATTGCAATTGAATTATATTATATATTATATTCGAATCGGAAATCCATTTTAATCTATACTTTTATATGATATTTTTTTTCGACAATTTAAAAATGAAAATTCCCATAACTCAGCCAAAAAGGCATTTATTTTAATTTGGAAAACGGTTCTATGCTAGTGTTTAGTAGGTTAACAAATCTGCATACTCAAATTTAAATGTAAAAAAAAATAAAAATATTGCCAATTTTTGACAATTTTAACGATTTGAAAAAAATTGTTGTTTTCTTTAAAGATAGCTTGAAAGATTCTCTCATTCAAGCTGATCAAGAATATATGGTATATATATATATGGTTTATAGGATCAGAAATGACTCCTTCACAGCGTAAGAAGCTTCTGACTGAAATTATAATACCCTTTATGGGTATTTAAATCTTACTAAAATGATCTGTAAATGTTTCTTGGAAATACTGTAGCGTTAAAAAGGTTCAGTCTTGCCATAGGTCTGGATATTAATTAAAGTTTCAAATTCAAAACAGTTTAAGCAACTTCGCTAGCGGGCATACATGGCGTATACGTAACGTGAAAACCTAAAAATTAAGTATACGCAGTGTGTGTCTTAAGGGAGAAGAGAGTTACAAATTTATAAAATTGAACAAGATAAATAAGAAAAACTATAAAATAGCATGTAAATTAACATATTCATTTATAATCCCCAAGAATTTCTCTGCCTACATCCTCGTGACATCACTTAGTGGCCATAAACGATTATCTCCCTATCCCCATAAAGGGCACAAAACTTGGTTACAAAGATCAGTTAATAAACCGTCAGAAGTGTGACTTGGCAGAAATGGGCATTGGTAATGTGCGAGTGTTGGGAGCGTTGGGTCCAGTTGTGAAATGGGAAAATTAACAATTCATTATCGCCGCAGAGACAGCTGAACACTCGCTCGAATATAAATACGAATACAATTTGTGGAAAAACAACAAACAGCATTGGGTATTTGCGTTAACAGTGCAAAAAGTGATTAAGCGATAACCTTAAGGAGCGACGGCAAGAGGGGGACAAAGAATGCGATCGGCAAGAGAGAGGAGAGAGGGAGCTCGCAAAAAAAAGGAGAGTGAGTGCGAGAGCTTGGGGCGCCGCACTGTGCTAATCGTTTTTGCCATTTTGCACACACACACACACACACACATACACGCATGAGCCCCCATAGAGAGAGAGCTCCACCGATCGGTCTCTCTCTCCCTCTCTCTCTCTCGGTTGATCTTTGATCACGTTTCCCGCACACGACGAAGGCACCCGAGTCAAGTCGCTCGGCGCCTCTTTCACGTGATAACCATGTGCGCTGCCTCTCTCGCTCTCCTCCTCGTGTGTCTTTATGTCGAAAACGAGTCACAAAATGAGTTTGCCACTTTTACCGCTGGCAGGGGGGAGTTGGGGGGAGCTAGGGGGAGCAGGAGAGTGGAGATTGGAGATTGGAGACCGGAGAGAAAGAGCGGGGGCGTGGACGGGGGCCCATGATTTCACCACTCCGACAGAGATAGAGAGATACAAAGCAGAAACTGCCGATTCACATTGAGTCGGCCGACTATCACGCATTCCTCATTCCCCTCCCATTCCGTTCGAGATTTGCACACACTTTATTTTGGGCCCATCCACAGGCGACGGACCCCCATCCAACCAGTTTTTGCGATTATGGCCAAAAGCGTCGAGGCCGCGAGTCCCGAAGAAGCCTCATCCACATAAAGAAATTTTAAATCTAATCTTTGAGTTATATGGAAGGGAGAGCTATTAAAATCATTGATATTCATTGATACTTAAAATATTATACAATAAATATTAAAGATTTCTATTAATTTAATTAAATTTAACTTGAGCTTAAGCAATCTTATAATATATTTATTCCCTGCTTTTAATCACGTTATTTAGAAATTTAAATGATATTACTATAGTTTTCCCTCTGTGTAACAAATTACTTGGCGGCTAGGACAAGTGGCTGCAACTAAGGCTTATGGCTTTATGGCCTTAACTTTGATAAGATCTCTTGAGATTCCATAAAAAGAACTCCCCTAAATAAGCATTTAATGGATTGCCTTATCGCGCTGTTCCTTCTGGAGAGCTCCAAAACATGTGAACGGAGGGTGAAAATTGCTGAAAGTAACAAAAACGGGAACTTACCCAGCACGAGATCGGATTCGTAATGCTAGTTTTTACTCGGAATCGAATTTAAATTCAAATTGGGTGACTCGAACACGCTTACAAACGTACAGACAGACAGAAACTCGTACATTGCCGTCACACACGGCTAAAAATACGAATACAAAGTGTATTTAAATATGTGTCGCGGAGTACATAACATAACACTGCCTTTGTTCATATCGCGTGCTGGAAGAAGTACAAAAACAGCAACAAAAGCAACAAGCATTTATTTAAATTCCGCTTATCAACAAGTTTTTGCCGCCGCCGCCACTGCCATGTGCCCAGCTCCCTCCGCCCGCTCCCCGTCTGCTCCCCGATCTCCTCCAGAGTTCTTCCTCCTCCTCCGAGTTCGAAGCTATAAAATGTGCACGGCACTCTCTTCGTTATGGCATGTGAGAGATACGCTCGGAAGGAACGTTATGGGGATTATATGATTGCAGAATTGATTTGCCATCCCCCCAGACTTACTACGGAATTATCACAGATGTCACAGGAGATAATGGGAAAGTTTTAGAAGTACAATATATATTTTTGGCAATTGAGAAATGTGTATTAAACTAAAGGAAAATTATAGAACCTACATTTTGTTAGTAAGATGTATATTCTACATGATGTATCTTCTACATGGGTTTCTACTTTATTTCCACACAGATACTTTACTTACTCTCTACTGACGCTCTTGATTTTCTGTAGCATACTTTTTTGCGCTTTTAGTAAAGAACCAAGAAACTTCATTGATTTATTTATTTCATTCATAAATTTAAAGAAACCCAGCTGTTTCTTAAATATATTGGATTTATTAATATTCCTTTATAGTGACCCAATTGTTCAGATAGTTGTCATTATAATAAAAATATAATAGTAATATAATGACATTCAAATTACTCAGAACTTTTTATTATTTGATTTGCAATTTTTTAAGCTTATTAATTTCTAAATTCTAAATAATAAAAAGCATAAAGCGTGGAAAATACTTTCAGTAAGACAAAGTTTACATACCCATTCAGTATGCAATTTCATTAAAATCAGTTATTTGGAAAATCTCAATGTTATCAAATGTAACAAAGCCAAAAATGCATTAATTTTAATTCGGAAAACGCTCGTATGATATGTTCATTTTTAGCAGGTTAAAAAAACTGCATACTCCAATTAAAATGTGCAATTTTTGCCGATTTTTTGAAAATATTAACGATGTAACCCCTTATAAAATTTTTGAAAAAATTGGCAAAAAAATATGTTCTTCTTTTATTACCTAGAAATATAAACCTGTTGATGCTGATCAAGAACAGATTAATAGGGTCGGAATGATTACTTCACTGCGATTTACACTTTTTACTTTAAATATAGTACCCCGAAAAGGGTGTAAATAAAATGCTATCTTAATTCGCTCAACTAAAAATAACTTTTAGTTTAATAAAATATTACAGAATGCAAAGCGTTAATATTTATTTTTCCTTGACCTTGACCTTTAAACGAGCGAACATATCCCACAGAAACTCAACCGCAGCTGTGAATCAAACTTTTCTGTGGTTTCTCTTTTCACATGTTGCTCATGCTTAATTTATTTTGTTATTTTTTTGCTTCTTTCTTTTCGATTGACCTTATCAATTAGTCGGTACTAACTAAGACTTAAGACGAGGGGGAATGCAAATACAAGGTATTTAAATACAATTTACAAATATACAAGCGGCAGGAATGCGAGAATGCATTGCGTGCCCATTGCTACAGTTAGGGATCCTAACTTAGGATTGACAGTTTGACAGTTTCGTCTCGGATTCGGAGAACTACACAGCTGACTAGTCGGCTTCTGGGTCCACCTTCCACTAAATTCGTGGTCCTTAGTCCTTAGTGCTGCGACTCCACTTGGGGCGTGGAGTTGCGACGCGGCTTCGGCGGAGGATCGTTCCAAGGCTGGACATTGGCCTTGCCAAAGATCACGTAGAGAGTGTTGCCCACCAGATAGATGCCGGAGGCAATGAAGAAGACAATGCGCCACTGCTCGGGATCGTGCTGGAAATAGAGAATAATCCAACGGTTAGGTTCTGGATCCCTTGAGAGGTAGAAGCAAAAAAACCCACCTCATCTGTGACAATGAATCCCACGATCAGAGGGGCAATGATGCTCATGATGTTGGCCACTCCGTTGGTGATGCCCATCAGGATGCCGGCAAAGTTCGGCGACAGATCAATGTGGTTCATGTTGTAGCCCAGGTAGGTGGCTCCGTTCATGCCCACGGTGAAGCAGAGCAGGACCACGGCCAGCTCCGACTGGTCGGCGCCCACATAGCCCAGACACACCAGCGTGATCATGGGGATCCACAGGCCAATGGAGTTGAAGAGCTTGCGACTCGTGACCGTGGACACGCAGTTCCTGTTGTTCAGCTGGGCGGAGATGGCCGAGAAGACGAAGGACATGCAGAACATGCAGACGTACGGCAGGGAGGAGAGCAGCGCATTCGACTTGATGTCCTTGCCGAGGACGTTCTTCATGTAGCTGGGAATCTCCGTGAGCAGCGTCCAGAAGCCCCAGTTGTGGGTGGAGTGGGCCACGATGAGCACCAGGAAGGCGGGCGACGTGAAGAAGCTCAGCCAGGGCGTTGGCAACTGCTCCTTGGGCACCTCGGCGGCACTGCTCACCTCACTGGCCTGTCCCATCTCGATCAGCTTCCGCTCCTCCGCCGAGATGCTCTTGCACTCCGCCGGGGATCCAGCTCCGAAGAAGAAGTACACCACAGACCACACGCACCCAAGGCCTCCCGAGATGTAGAAGATGCTGGGCCAGCCGATGGGCGAGGCTGCTATCACTCCGCTGGTGGCCAGCATGAGGATGGTTCCAAACTGATTCCCAGCATAGGCGCAGGTACCCAGGGTGGCTCTCTCCTTCGGTGGCGCCCACTGGGAGAGGATTGTGTGCGTGGAGGGGAAGACCACGCCCTGGCACAGTCCTTCGACCACGCGCAGGGCACAGACCAGCTGCCAGCCGCCAAGACTGGCACAGAGAGGAGTAAGGACATTCAGGACGGAGCAGATGCTCAGGCCGGAGAGGATCATCACCTTGCCTCCGAACTTACGGGCCAACTGACCCGCTGGGACTTGGGTGATGACGTAGCCCCAGAAGAAGCTGCTCAGCAGCAGGGACTTTACCTTCTCCGACCATTGGTATTCCTGCGATGAGTAAGGGATTCAATTAAGAAGGATTCTTGGTTTCATAAAGACTGATCCTCACCGGAAAACTGGGATTCACAGAGGCCGCATCCGTCATGGCCACCACGGCCACGGACAGGTTCACTCTCAAGGCATAGGCCACCGTCAGGGCAAAGAAGAGCAGGAACACCTGAAAGTGACGCACTCCCAAGCCGGAATCTGAAATAAATTAGAAGCACATAGGGATTAGGTAATGTGGGGACTGTAATCTGCAACCCGTATTGATCTTTGGGCCAATCAATGGGCAGTCAGCCATCGATTTGCTAACGCTTATCACCAATCAACCCACTATCAGTTGTATATATAATTATAAGCGTGCAGTCTCTGTAGATTTGTGGCTGTGTCTGTAGGTCACCTGTAGGGCAATACTACTCCCGAGATTTACCTTTCTACGCTTTTCTATTTTAGACCAAAGCGGGCCCCCAGCTATGGATTTATGACTGACAGCGTACAAGTCTGTGGCGCTTCTTGTGATAGCCGAAATTTATCATCATCCCTTATCTCTGGCAGACAGGCAAGCTGGAGATATAATTATTTTCCCTTCTATTTGCACTTTTGGGGGCAGCTACTGGTTCCTGGATTAGGGCTCCATGCTTTCCGTAAAAATTCCATTCATAGATATGGCGCCAAAGTGTCGTCTGTGTCTGTGACATTTAACCCCTTCACTCGCCCCACGTCATAGCCATATCTATTTCAATATCTATGTGTAGTTTGTACTAGTTTTCCGTGTTTGTTTAATCTCTGATTAAGTGACAGAGATTAAAGTAGTTGGGAGTGGGTCATAAAACTATATCAGTTACAACGGATTTGCACCCGGGGCTTAAGTGTCATCGTAAAGTCCTTAAACAGGCCCCCTTTTTGTAATTATTATATTATTATTACTTTCTGTGAGAAAAGAGGGGCCCGTCTTTTATGGATATTTGTTGTTATCAACACTGATAAGAGTTTTCAATGGATTTTTGTGGGTTCTAGGGGATATATTCTGCTTTTTTACTGGGAAAATGTTGGGGTTGAGATGAGGTCAAGATGGGAATATGTTGAGGTTTATAGAGGTAGATTAATGTGAAAATTACAATAAGAATTGTTCGATTTATTAATATTTTAAGTTATTTGTGGATCAATGGTTTATATATTTGAGAATTATTTAACAATATCTTTGAAGTAAGCTCAAATATATATTCTTTTTAAGTTATATTCTTTTCTTTAGTAAGTATTTTGACAAATTTCCAGGTTAAATAATCATAAATTTTCCAAGAAAGGTCTTATCTGATAAACTAAATGTAACTAGATAATGAAAACTCTCTGTATTTAGTATTTATATTTTTTCTGTTGCACTAATTTTCACAACGTTGATTGGTATCTTTGTGAAAACTTATAAATAAAAACTTCCTCTGTGAGAAGGACCCACCTTCATCCTCAAAACGACGATTCTTGACAGTGTTAACCATAATGGTAAGTTAACTGATTAGCTCTGAATACGATTTATATTATATTAATTGAATTTAATCACAGCTGAAAAAAACACTACCGTTCGGCTTGGAGCCTGTTCACAAACTGATGGATTCTTGGCGTCGCATCCGCAGGTGCTTTACGCAAATAGCTAGAATCCGGAGGCTTGATCACCTAACCAGCATCGTGCCTGGGAAACCGTATCTCTAAATCTGTATCTGTATCTGTATCTGTATCTGTATCTGTATCTGTATCTGTAACTCACTGTGTGTGACGTTAGCTGTCGCCCTGTGTGTGATTTGTGGGTCGTGTAAAAGCGCGTGGCAAACGCAGCAGCGCCCACTTGCACCCTCATCCTAATCTTGACTTTGAATTTGTTCAGATACCCCCCGGGGGGAAAAGCCTTATCTGCGATTAGGTAATTTTCCGAGGCTAATTCGATGTAACCAATTCGGGGCATTAGACCGAGCGATCACTCGGTCAAGGCATGTCCTCGGGCTGGCTGCTACCATTATTATCCGGAATTTATGGCCCCTCGATTTCTGAAATAGCTTTCATCGGCCACCCGGTTAGCTTTGAACTTGAAAGCAGTTGGAAATTGGTGTCACATAGCTTTTCATTCACTGGAAAAAGCTTGGGAATCGAAAAGCTATCGAGCAAAAGCTGCAATGTTATTGTTTACTACAGTTGGACTTGGCTATAAGCACTAGAGTCTAAAGCATAAACCATAAAGCTTGTCGTCTAATTACAATTGTAATTATCAGACCAACAGAATGGTAATTGAATCTCAATTCCCACGAAACAGCAGTGATGAATGAATGAATAAGTAAACAAGCGAGTGAAGTCTCTTCTTGTTGACTCGTGGCGGGGGTCTTAGAGGGTATCAAATGGGTATCAACTGGGTATCAAGTGATAAGGATATGGCCAATTTGGCCAGCGGAGTTTCCCGCCTTAAGACCAACGACTTTCAAATGTCCAGGCACTTGAGGCAGCCAGATAGCCAGCGCCACTCGATGACATTTATGATAGGGCCTGCCCGGTCTAGATAGGCATTGTGATGATGGGTGGCCGTCAAGTGGTTGGGTGGAAGCCAACATCGATGTCACAACAGACTCAGAGACAAGGCCCAGTCACTCGGCCACCTTGTGCCCGCAGATTGGGTGGAAGTCCGAAATGATGGGACAGATGATAAGCCAGCATTTTGGCCGACTTTTCTGAATGAAGGCACAGAGTATATGTGTTATATTTGGCATTACAGAATAACTTTAGCACCTTTGATGCATATTTAAGTATGTAATAGCTATCATAGATTTATTTACTTTATGATCTATAGTTTTTCCATAGATTTAGCTCGTATCTATTGAGTTTATAACCTTCCGCTGTGATTTGTGACCCAACTGGCGATGTCAGCCTCGCATCGGGTTTTCTAACATATTTTCTATTTATTTTTCATGTCGGGCGCCGTGGCGCCCGCCTTGCCAATTTGAATATCTAGCGAAATTATTTAAATATACAATTACAAATAAACCAAAAAACTTATTTCGAGCGCACTTTTTGTGCGTGTAATTTATGCTCTGACGGAAGACGCCGCTTCGGGTTTTGTCAAGTGCTAATGAAAATTTGCATGCCAGCCGCCAGGCGATAATTAAACGCGGCTTTAAATAAAGATTTATCAGTGATAAATATGAGTACTTGATATCAACTATATATAACCCTAAAGTCTGGATTGATTTCCCCCCCTCTCCCGCTTAGTTGCTTCTCGTTTTTGTTTGAAACTTAAGTCGAAGCAGGAACATAATAGGAAATATTCGAGATTTATGTTTTCGCCATATACGCCACCGACTCTAATTGTTCAAAGAATCGTAACTCGCTATCTAGAATCTCTAGCCGATGTTTGCTTTCGCTTTTTTGTACTTTTGCTTTTTTAGTTGCTGTGTTTTTTTTAGTCGCAATAGTTGCTCATTAGCCGCCAGAACTAAACTGGATTCGCGTCAGACTGCCTGTCGAGAGCACTCTTTGTGATCTGTTTTATCATATTTATTTTGTTTGTTAGTATATATTTTCCACCCAAGCAAACAAAAGTGTGTAAATCGAATAATGAGTGTGGCAGATTTGCATACGAACTGTGGATGGATGATATTTTTTCAGTTTCCTGTCTGTCTGGGCTTTGATTTTCCCATTTTCCACTGATCCGATCAGCTTATATATATAGTCTGACTAACCAATGAGTATACTCATATTGGAACAAACAAAAAAACACTTGTGGCAAACGAAAAACACAAAATTAGAACGTAAAATAAATGCAAACAAAAGTTAGAGTCACCGCCACTTAAGATTTAATCACATTTACCTGAAATTAGCAGCTTGCCAGCACTTGAACATTAATTGTTAGGGCGTAATCAAAGAGCACTTGAGGTTTTGGAAAACTTTTGCTCAATAATAAATTATGTTTGGCTTTCGAGGGAACTATTGAACCATAACTTCCTTGGGATATCCTATGTTACCTTCTCCAAAGAGCTTAAATAAAATTACATTATTGTTTTTCCCTTCACCTTGAAGCTGAATTTTCCTTCCTTTCCTAATACTTTGCCAATTTTAAAATTAAATAAATCCAATAATGCACAAACCCCTTTTTTCGTAAATCAAATATATATAAAAACAAAACGCTGCTCATTTTCAAACTAGTTTTATAATGTATTCATTTAATTTGAGATGCCTGAAATGAATTAAAAAGAGAATGAATTCGATTTGGAGACCCCAATTAAGATTTTTTGGTTTATAGAGAGAGCCTACAAAAGGGGTTACTCCATAATAACACATTTCTAGTGCGTTTTCTAATCTACTTTCGTAATGAATTCTTGTTTTGTTTGTTTATCAGCCGAGTCGAGTGGGACTCCACAGACAATGGTTACTTAAGGCCCGATCTATTGGGGTTATCTAACCGCCTTTGGTGCTTCCACTTACGTTGGCCCTCGGCCTCATCCGTCTTCTTGGAATTCTTGGAGTCCATGTCCATGGAGCCATTGCTACCGCCACAGCACAGAAGCTTCATGATGATGCTCGCGTTTGCTTAACTAACTTTATTTAAATTTAATTTACTTTTACTATATAGAAATAATACTATATGTGTTTTATGTTGTTCTGGCACTGCGCGTTCTTAATGCGGCGTGGTAATTGAATGGTGGTCAACGATCGAGGCAAATGTCACCATATTCACAACTGTTGCAATTGCTTTCGTTATTGCCCGATTTTGGCCGGTATATATAATATATTGACTGTATAGAGTGGTTATAGAGTAACGCTCTCGCCGCCGTTGCGTTTGGAGACCGACTGAACGTTGAGTCGGCGCGGGGACTCCATTTATACGCTGCTCGAACGCCGGATCGATCCGATCGCTCGCCCCACTCAAACACTCAAACACGCTCCGGTGCGGCTCCGAATACGTCACATTGGACGGAGCTCTCCACTCCAGAAGTCATCAGCCGCCAGCAGGCACAATCCATTCCGGACACGGCTGGGAGAAATTCCCAGACCCAGACCCAGAGCCAAAGCCACAGGCCAGACCACTTGCCGGGTTCGTGGACAGCCCGTGGTGGCCGGGGTGGGCGTAGTCCCCTTCGGAGATATCCGTAAAATCGAATCTTATCAAAGTGATCTTTAGATTACCAGACTTGTCAGGGTCTTCAGTATGTAGGAATATATGGAGGACACACCTCGAGCGTAAGTCCGTTCAAGTGGGGCGGACCTCGCACCCAACCAAAGGAGGCTCATATGATGCTCTTGACATAATGATATATATTTTGTGGTATCAATCCCGAGGGCGTTTCGATTTTGATTCTAAAGCATGCACCTAGGGATGGCACTAAAGATGGTCAGTCATTACTACAGAGAAATATATACTTTGCAGTGATTTATAAAAGGCTTAGTATAGTATTCCCAAGTTTACCCGTATTTTATGGATGAATAACAATCATTTGTTAGAAACAAATAATGTAAGTTTGTATATTTCAAGTCAACGTTGTTCAGCAAGTAATGACACGATTCAAAAGTATCTTTAAAAATATATATTCAACAAGAAAGGAAGATTCTTCAGCAGTTTTCAATTGTATAATTTCATCCAACTGCGATCGATCATAACTAAAGCAAAAATGTATTAATTTAAATTCGGAAAGCAGTCCTATGCTCTTTGTAATTAAGTTAACAAATCTGCATACTCAGTTTAAAAATTTAGAAAATTAAAAATTTTATGAATTTTTGACAATTTTAACGATGTAACCCCATATAAAATTTTCAAAAAATCGAAAATTGTTGTATTTTTTCAAACATACCCAAATCGATAAGGATTTTGATTCTGATCAAGAATATATATGATTTATAGAGTCGGAAATTATTCCTTCACTTAGTTTCAAGCTTCTGACCGAAATTATAATACCCTGCATTAAAATACCCTGCATAAAGTAGAGCTTTGCTTTCATTTCCGCTATCCCCACAATCCTAGAAGGTGTCAAGACGTGATACCAACGATCCCGAGGGCGATACGAAATCAGGCGAAAACCCCGTAAAAGCCACGAAATGGGCCAGTGGAAAATTTATGGCTCGTTGGGGGTCTTGACTTCTCCGAATGAATGAAACTTTTTTGGTAAACACAAGCACAGAGATTGAATTATTGGCCAAGGGAAGCCCCGACTCGAAACAAAAATATATATATATTTGTATAAAAAATACGTAGCTAACAAACTGGTTAAGCGATCACTTGCCGTACTCGTGGATGCCACGGAACTCGAAGCCGCAAAACTATGGCGCTTCAGAAATTCCCGATTGGAGTGCTCTTGACATTAGGGCACTTTCACTTTCACCTGGCTAATAAGAATTATTCCCAGTTACCTCACAGGTGTCTCTCCCTCTCTCACTTACTTTTCAGATAGATTTAATATTCTTAGTTATGCATAGTTCATGCCTGGCTGCCCCAATGGAATTCGGTTCGCTCTCTGTGACTGAATTCTCGTCTCGTATTGTCTTTTTTAGACAATAACTGGAATTTCTTGCAATTACAGTGTGACAAGTAAATAAATATATATATATATATCTCTGATCTCTATGAAGCCTAATTTATGACACCCACAAATGAAAGTTCGATCCAATTTAATGGTGCGTCAGCATGGCAAGCAGCTATGTCTTAGATACGGAGTATCTGACAGATACTTTGGGCACACGTCCGTCTCGTGGCTCCAGTGGATGTCTCCTTCCGTTGAAATCGAAATGAAAACAAACTGATTATCTTTCTCCAGACGCTAAACAATTGAAGAGTGTGCTCCAGAATCGGTGTTCACATAAATCGTAGTAGTAAGATCTATTAAAAATCGGTGCCAGGCGGAAGGTGATCAGATCTCTGATCTTGATCTCTAATCCAGTTGTCATGATGCCTCTATTTGAGTTGTTAATATCCCATCAAATGATTTGCAATGAGGGAGCGAAAATATCTTGGAAGTTGACTGATGGTCTGGTCACGATACAATCGAGGATTGTTTAACTTTTAGCAGACAACAAGAAATTAGGTATTATTTGGATGAAATGCCCTACAGTCTTTGAATGATTTTATGAGGTTTCAACTTTTAAAAAATAGGTTTAAAAGTAATCTTTTAAGAGTAAGAGTTTTAGTGGAAATAAAACAAATTAAATCGTAACGGACTAACGTTTTTAACTACAATACTTTTTAAAGAATACACATAATACTAGAGCTCTGTTCATAATAATAATAAACTATAATACCTTTATTTAAAGTCAAAAAAAGCATAAAACACTAATGAATCTAAAGATTTGAATACACTTTTAAGCTTTTCTAAATATCACTCCATTTTATATGTATTTATGTTGATATATAAATCTGTGTCTAGGGAATTAATTGTGTTATCCAAGCCGAATGTGGTTTTATGAACTGATCTCGTACTTGGCACTAAAGGTTCCCCCCCAAAAATAAACTCATCTGTTAATGGAACAATTCAGTGACTAAAATAACTCACATATTAAGTTTGCAAATCGATTATAAATATTGATTTATGTAAATGGGAAAGTTAACTGTCATGGAAGTAATAGTTATTCTTCCGTTGTCGGATGACGCGGCATTTTCCGATTTTCCAACCGAAATAAACATCTCCCCCGCACTTAACAACAAATCACGCTATTCTCTCGAGCTTGTAAAATCTGTATTTTAGCGGGGTTTTTGTTTCACGTCCAAAAGGGGCGGAGAATTGGTGCAAAAATAATTGCCAGTCAAGGCAATTACACATCCTCTCTTGAATTCTATGGTGACGAGAGGGGTTTGGAAGCAATTACAATCCGTTACACATTTTATTTTTCAGTCTAAATTAATAGGTGCAAATGCATTACAGATCTCTCATGGGTTAGTCTATAGTAGGTGCATTGCTTTTATTTAAGTTTTAGCCGTTAATAGGTAAAGGTTCTGCTTCAAAACTGCACAGAAAACTAGTTTAAGGAACTAATTTATGAAGGGAAATTATATTTTTAAGGTATTTCTATTGTTAATTACAGCTTTTTTAATTAAATTTTACGTTTTACTTTCACTTCTTGACGTTGACAATTTATATGCAAGTTCGAATGGCTTTTTAAAGAATTCTGTTTTATTATTTGGCTTTTACATTTTTAATGTGACAAAATGATTATAAGTAATTATAATAAAATATAAGATAGCCTAATATATGTGAAGGGAGATCAAAGTTTGTTTACCCCTAAAGTCGAATCGAAAATCTTCCATAACTTTGCCAAAAATGCAATAATTTTAAATCAGAAAGCAGTTCTATGTTAGTTTTTTAAATGTTAATTAATGTGCATGTTTAGTTTTAAATTGAAATTTTTGTCGATTTTTGACAATTTTAACGATGTAACCCCTTATAAAATTTTGAAAAAAATGTGCATAAATTTTTGTTCTTTTTTTAATGCCTAGAAAAATACCCCTGTTGATGGTGATCACAAATATATATGATTTATTGGGTCGGAAATGACTCCTTTACTTCGTTTTTGGCTTCTGAAGGTTACAGTAGTACCCTGCAAGAGTATAATGGAATAAACTGAAAATTACAATATTCATAAATAAGAAATAAAGAATAAATAATATAAATTAAATGAAGAACTTAGTAAATTTAGTAAATCGTAGAGTTTGATGGCACTACAAGGATCATTAAAATATTTAATGGAAGCTTTTTAATTTATTTAATAAACCTTGATGTCATAAAATGAAAAATCCCCTTCGTTTTATGATGAAATATAATAAAACAATCCTGTTTAGTGTTTACATTTAAATGAGCATTAAAGTTGTCTAGATCATAAAATAATAGGTAGGTAAGTAAACAAATTAGAACACTCCTTCAACAAAGTAAAAGTGAACATTTAAAGTTTATATAAAGTTTAAATAAAATATGATCCAAGTAGAATTTGGAGTATAACCCCATTAAGGATCCATAAAGAAAAGGTATTAACCGACAGCACTGTTGCACAACCGCCGTAGAAGTGCGATTCTGAAGCTCTTAATATGCAAAACGTGCGATTCTGTTTGAACTTGGCCACAGACAAGTTGGCGTTGGCCCGGCACCGGCTGAGTCAAGTTGAGTTCCTCAATACTTTAGTGCTCGGTGTGTTTACACCCCCTCCTCGCGGTGTCACATGGAAATTCAAGTTCAAGTGTCTGCCGCTCAATGGAAATCGATCGAACTCCCGCTAAATTGGCAAGCTTCATGGTTTAGCCCCGCCAGTAACTAAGCTTAAACGTTAAGTACAGTGAACAGTGATTAGTGAACAGGGTACAGTGCATACACACACACTCAGTTTTTGGCATTTTGTGCGGGCCGTTGCGCATGTTAATTGCCACCTGATAGCCGATTTTGGGCCACGTTAAACGCGCACCAGTTGACATTGATTGGGTACTTCCACCTCCACACATCCACAAATCCATTAAGTAAGTAATTCCCTCTGTAGATTCCACAGAGTCCAGAGTCTAGAACTATTGGTATTCCGATAGTGATCGGTTGCGGTTTTTCAACCAAACTCATTATACATATAGTGCAGGGAGAGAAATATTGCCAACAGGCTTTATATGACTTCGTTCTGAGGATTATTCAAAAGATTATTTAGTAATATTTATGCAGTTAAAGATGCTTCTTAAGCATTGGATTTCCAAGAGTTGTCTTAACAACTCTTTCTTGCTGCTTTCAAAACACCTCAGACGTTCTCCCAGTGTAGAAGCTTTATATGCAAATTTCCAGGGGAATTTCTGGGGTAAGGTAACGTCACTACCATATACTTTTACCACCTTGTTGTTATAAGAAATTGATTGATCCGATATTCCATTCAATTGATCCTACGTTGTCTTAGGCCCGTTGGCACCTTGTCGACGTCAGAGCCTGGAGAAGATTTCACAGCCAATATGGGGCACTCACTCGCTCGGAACTCGTTAACATCTCAACGCGATGTGAGGTGGCAGCTACGTAAGCAGGCAATCCTCAATTCGGCTTTTAGCGCAGCTAATTCGAGGAATTTTCCGCGCCAACGCCACTTGACAAAGCAAAGTCGTCGTCTTTCACATCCCTTATCTAATCGAAGCGCCCCCAAATTAATTACAAATCCATCAGGTGCCGATTTGGGCGACAAGCGCCATAAACACCGCCCAGTCATAAGCTCTAATCGGCCACTTCCGTAGTATCATAGACCTGAGGAGGAGGCGGAGGAGGAGGCTAAGCAATAAATACAAAATATAATCCCAAAATCAGATTGTCAAAACATAGAGACCCTCTGACGGCGGTGATAAGGTCATTTCACCTTGCGTAAATAACAAATCTCCGGCAGATTTAAATTCCTTTCCGCTCCAGCACACTGGAGCTATGCCCTGCGAATTGCAAGAGTCACAGGAAAAAAATACATAGTCTTTCTAATTATTAATGCTGGATAGAAAAACCCCCCAGACAGCACTTTTGTTTGTTCATTTTTAGTTCGTTGTCACGAATAGTAATTGCAAAATAAATTGTTTCATAATTTAAAATTGGAATTTCGCTGGCCTAATTGATACATTCCATGCATTCCTGAGCGTCATTAACTATAGTTAACTATACTAATTCAAATTAAAGCTTAAACGTAGAAGTATATTGTACTTAAAAGAGAAAGAAGGCTTTACTTCCTAAATATTTATATTTTTGTTTTGTTTGTATACAATTATTTTGGTTTAATAATAATTGTCTTCCAAAATTTCTTATTTATAAGTTTAACAACTTTTAAAATTGGTAAGAAATTCAAAAGTGTGCGCACAACGACGACATAATCGATAACACTTCACATAAATTGTAGATATGGCAGCGCCATTCAAAATCAAAGTGTGACCCGCTACTTTCGATTAATAAATATCGATGTATCGCCATCGAACATTATTATCGGTGTTATCACAGCTCTAATCAGAACGTGCCGTTTCCCAATTTTTAACAAGTAAAAATCATTATTATTAAAAATTATAGGCAGTGTCCCTTGTTTTACCCATTTGACACTTTATATAATTAAGTTAAATTACTCGCTCTAGAACACAAACCAAATGGCGCAAAGCAAGCTGAACGATCTCGCTGGCAAGCTGGGCAAAGGTGGACCGCCGGGACTGGGAATCGGACTGAAGGTCCTGGCCGCCGTTGGAGCTGCTGCCTATGGTGTTAGCCAGTCCCTTTACACAGGTAAGAATATATCAGAGTGCTATATATTGCCCGATTTCTCAGAGAATAACTAGAAACATGGAAACTGTAGCGGCATGTTCACATAACCTCAAATGGTTGCGGGGTTTCATATGAAAGTGTGTGTGTGTATTGCCGGATTTCATAACTAACACTTTAGTTTACACCAGGCTTTAGGGGGATTAAGAACGTTTAAACTTTGGAACATAAGCTAATTTAGTTTATCTCTCTCAGGGACTCTTTATTTTATTCAGGAATTCTGTGTTTATTAACTAATTTTATCTATTGATGGTTGCATAACAACAAACTCCATTTACACCGGATGAATCTCTCGTCAGGGTGGGTCCAAGTTAATAAAAAACCCAATTATCTTTGAAATTATTAAGTTTATTAATGATCACATTATGTCAAAATGTTTTCGTTTTATTTAAACGCTGTTTAATATCATCATGAACCCAAACATAAATTCAATTCTAAGCTTAAATCCTGAACTCTCTTTTAGTATCATTTAATTGAAACTTATTTATTATTAACAGTTGATGGCGGTCACCGTGCCATTATCTTCAGCCGCCTGGGCGGCATCCAGAACGACATTTACTCTGAAGGCCTCCATGTGCGCATTCCCTGGTTCCAGTATCCCATCATCTATGACATTCGGTCGCGTCCCCGCAAGATTTCCTCGCCCACCGGCTCCAAGGATCTGCAAATGATCAACATTTCCCTGCGTGTGCTCTCGCGTCCGGATTCGTTGAACCTGCCCTTCCTGCACAAGCAGCTGGGCGTGGACTATGACGAGAAGGTGCTGCCCTCCATTTGCAACGAAGTGCTCAAGAGTGTGATTGCCAAGTTCAATGCCTCGCAGCTGATTACCCAGCGTCAGCAGGTGTGTTTACTTTGGAGAACATTCCAAAAACATAATTTTAATCACATTGTATCCCTGAAAGGTGTCTCTGCTGATCCGCAAGGAGTTGGTGGAGCGCGCCCGCGATTTCAACATTATTTTGGATGATGTGTCCCTTACCGAGCTGAGCTTTGGCAAGGAATACACGGCCGCCATTGAGGCCAAACAGGTGGCCCAGCAGGAGGCCCAACGTGCCGTGTTCTTCGTAGAACGCGCCAAGCAGGAGAAGCAGCAGAAGATTGTCCAGGCCGAGGGAGAAGCTGAAGCCGCAAAAATGATATCCTTTTACAAAAAACTCAAACTAGAAATATTTTTTAAGAGCTTAGAAAAGCTGGTAATCGGTATAAACTATTGATCCCCAGCTTCTTTTCAGCTTGAGAGGGAAATGCTAACTTTAATTGCCACCCAAATGGTTCTCCTTAACTGATATGTTCACTTAGGTCTGGCCGTGAAGCAGAACCCAGCCTACCTCAAGCTGCGCAAGCTGCGTGCCGCTCAAAGCATTGCCAGAACGGTAAGAAGCTTACTTATTCTTTAAAAATCCTACCCAGAAATAATAAAATTCCATTCCCCTTACAGATTGCCAGCTCACAGAACAAGGTCTACCTGTCGGCGGATAGCTTGATGTTGAACATCCAGGACTCTGGCTTCGATGACATGACCGAGAAGGTTTACAAAAGTAAATAGCTCTCTTTTTGATCCATCAAACCAAGCAAAAGAGTTTACTTTTTAAGTTGAAACAAATAATACACAAAAAACACTTGTGCTTTTGGTTCCAAACATACAATTGGCCCAAAACCTTAGACCTTAGACTTAATAACTGAGTTACTTCTAACGCGTTCTCCGTACTCCCTCTCTATCTTTTTGCTACCAAATTATTTGGTGGGTTCTCTGTTAACGTTTCTCCATATATTCCCGCATTCGCAGTAGCCGAAGACATGGACTAGGAGGATCCACATTCGTTGTTAATTAATTTGTAACTTGAAATCCTTTGAGCTAGAGCCTAAGCACCGTTTAGTTGTAACCACTTGAAAGCGGCGCTTCGCGTCGGCTTATCCCAGTGTCCCTGGTGCCCTGAGACAGCTTCATCCCACATCCGTTCTCCGGGCATCAATGGCACGCCCAGCGTTCGTTGCGTTGTGAACCGATGAGTCGACGCGGGCAGGCTGCCTCCGCAAACCAGCATTTAACCTGTCCCCATCATTTACTTCATCGGGAGAGTGGCGTGAGACGGAAACTGATAATAAATGCGTACTGAGAACTGTCCATCGATCGTCGTTGTGTGTCCCTCTCGGTTGAATGTGGGTTTTCTAGCTCATCGTGAAGCAACGAAGCGCCAGCGACTCGCCCCCTTCACTAATCCCATATATATTCACCCCCAATCTCTTACAGTTGGCACCGGGCTGCCGAAGAACTGGCTGGATGCGAAGAAAATGGCATCGAAGGTGGCCCAGTCGGACGAGAAGAGCGACAATGTGGGCAATGTGGCCAATAACCTGGCCAAGAAGATGCTGTGACGTGCCCATCCGCCGGCTCACCCAAGGACCTAGTACAAAGAGGAGGAGGACGTGGGACTGCTACGAAACACTTACTTATCGTTTTAATAATTGCGTGTACAAAATACATAAGAATAGTACATAAGAGTGTATATAGTATGTATAATTCGAGTGTATATAGAGGTTTATTTATGTAAATTGTAGGCAGATTAGGTTCGGTTACTTCTCCTTCTCCCTCCTCTCCCAGGAGGCATTCCCATGTCGTGTGTGTACGAGGTGTGGCGTGAGAGAGAGCGAGATCTTGACTAGAGACATGAGTGTGTGCTTCCTCCGCGTCGTATAACTATATTAATGTTCCTATATCTATTCCATAACGAACTCGAACAATCAAATTCCTGCATTAGGCGCGTGGGGTTAGCGTTTTGTATTTTTAAGTGTTATTTTGTAAGGTTGCTTAGAAGCGACGCGACATGGACCAGGATCAGGCCGTCGCCGGTGGCTTAACTCCTCCTCCTCCGCCAGCAGATGCTCCACTGCTGCTGCCGCTCTCGCTGCCACTGCTGCTGGCGTTGCTATTGGCCCTGCGACTCTCCGCCAAACCTGGCGTGTCCCGACGATGACGACGCAACGTGGAGCTGGCCGACGGAGCCGAGCTGCTCAGCGCAATGTTGGCCGTGAAGGCCGCTGCCTCCGCTCGACTGGGCACCGTCAGGGTCCCGCCCACACCTGCCGAAGGCGGCAGCACTACTGCTCCAGCTCCTGGCCCTGCTCCCGAACCATTGCTAGCGCTGCTCGCTGCAGCTGCGGCGAAGGACTCGGTTATGCTGGCCAAGGGTCATAAGTTCGTCGTCTGGACCAGTCCGCGCTCGAGGTGGAAGCACTCCAGCACTGCCGCCCCCACGGAGCTGCGACGCGCCACCATGGCATTAACGACACTCCATTTGTTCAGACGCGGATCGTAGCGCTCCACGGAGTTGAGCGAGGAGCTGCCATCGTTCCCTCCCAGAGCGTACAGGGCGCCCTCCACCTCGACCACTTCGTGGGTGGATCTGGAAGAGAAATCAAGGTATGAACAAATATCTTGCAGCTTTAACTGAAAACCCACCTCCTTGAGTGCATGGCCGTGATAGGCTCCCAGCTGTTCCGGCGCAGGTTGAACCTCTCCCCGCTGGACATGCACATGGTGCCATCATTCCCGCCGATACAGTACAGATGCCCATCCGTGGAGGCCACCCCGCAGCTGCTCCTCCTGGCCGACATACTGGGCACCGGTTGCCAGCGACCCACTCGCGGATCGAAGCGCTCCACGCTCGACTGATAGTTGGTGGAATCGAAGCCGCCCAGGCTGTAGATGCAGTTCTCCAGCACGGCCAGGCGGCAGTATCTGCGCCGCGTACTCATCGCCGGGCAGGAGCTCCAGATGCCAGTAAGCGGATCATAGCGCTCCATGCTGCTCAGGCAGGAGGCGCCGTCGTAGCCGCCGCACACATAGATCAAGGCATCGTAGGAGCAGATGCCCAGGCAGCTCCGCTTGGTGCCCATCGGGGTGATGTTGCTCCACTTGTTCGTCAGCGGATTGTAGCTCTCCGCCGTGGCCAGGTCGCTGACTCCATCGTAGCCTCCCACGACGTAGAGCTGCTTGTGCAAGGCCGTGACTCCGGATCGAGAGCGCCGCCACAGCATGGGAGCCACGGGGCTCCAGCAGTTGGTGCGTGGATTGTACACCTCGCACTCGTTGTGGATGGCAAAGAGGCTGCCTCCGCCCACGGCGAACACATATGGCTTCATGCCCTCGGGACGACGCTCCTGCGTCCGCTGGCTGCCCATCAGGCTGCGCTGCTCCGGCAGCAGGTGGTACTTCATGGCCTCCAGCAGAAGCTCCTTGCACTCGGAGTCGTCCCGCATCAGGGTCTCCGTCTCCACGCAGCTCATGAGGAAGTCTCGACTCACCAGCGGGAGCCTCACACTGGACATCAGCTCGGCAATGTGGAGCCTCCGCGAGGGCAGATCATGCTTCACCCAGTTGATGACAGCCCCAAAGACCCGCTCCTCCGAGCTAATGTTCAGCTGGCTGTTGGAGATGAGCTCGCGGACCTCCTCGAAGGGCAGCAGGAGGAACTCCTCGGTGCCCACCACCTGCTGGAAGTTCTGCAGCGCGTACTTGTGGCTCCGCGTGTGCAGCTCCTTGCAAGAGTGCGCGTCAGCGAAGCTCCGGATGCCCAGGCAGTTGGAGGGATGCAGCTGACGGAGCAGGAACTTGCAGCAGGCATCCCGCACCGAGTGCATCTGGAGCAGGCCGGAGGCGGGCAGCAGCACCTGGACATTCTGCTCCGTGATGGTGATCTCCCCGGTGTATGTGTAATCGATCAGCTGCCTCAGAGCCGAGCTATCCACGTCATGCAGTCGCACCAATCCCTGTGTTCGCTCCAGCATGTCGTCTAATGGAACGGATGGGTGAGTTTTGGATTAGTTTGCTATATGGTTTAGGATGGATTTAGTTACGGAAATCGATCCCAAATCAATGATTAAACCCCTCTCTGAGTTATGGAAATGTCTATCTAAAAGTAAGCTCTTTAGTTTATCCCAATCCCCACTCACCATTGAACATTGCATAGAAATAGGGCGACACGGAGGCCAGGACCACACGATGGGCGTTGATGGTGTCGCCTCCCACCTCCAGGCGAACATCGCAGAGCTGAGGGGAAAGAGCAGGGAAAAGCTGTTGAGACAGAGTGTTCCGGAGTTGGGGTCCCTTTACAAATCCGATTAATGCCTGGCTACGTGCTCAATTTGCACCACTACACCCTGAGAATCCTTACAAGGGAGTAGTCCTTGTCCCTTCCATCAATAACTCTTGACAGGCAGCCAGTTTATTGACCTCCTCAAAAGGAGAGTATTTTTTTAATAGCAAAGTGTCGCTTACATCATGGCTCTGGTTCTGGTTAAGGCCAAGTCATCCGTCTAACCGATGATATAAATTTCACCCGCTGGGCGTCTAAAGCGGCAATTTGCTCTAATAGCCAGTCCGTCGCCTTCTCACCCAGCTGAACTCTGGCGAGGAGGGGTCCGTACTGGGGAGCAGCAATTAATGTTTGCCGCCTGCCCAAAAAATACAAATAAAATACAAAAAACAGAGAAACGAACGAAAGAAATTATGTATGCGCCATGTGGACCTGCGACGACCTCAATCACGCGCCCATTCTAATAAATAAATACTTTTAATTATGTTCACGCCTAATGCAATTAGTGTGAAAATATATATCAAGATAAGGCAATTGAGCAAAAGATGGTACGAAGTAGGTTTCATTTTGTGACTACCATGAAATGGCTTTGACCCTGACTATAAGTTGATTAATTAGGCCTTAACTTGGTGAGATGTGAAATATAAATTAAGAATTTAATTTAAGACAACTTCTAAGGTGTCTTCTTTCTCGACTATCCTTTAGTCTCTCCCAGAAGTGTGTTTACGAAAAGTATTAATTTCCCCCTAGTGAACCCCACAGAGATTCCTCCCATCTCACCTGGGCATTGTTCCTCATCTGGTTAATGGCTGCAAAGGAGGCAATGCAGTGGCCTGGATTCTGATGGTGGGCCTGGGGCAGGACCTCCTCGTTGGGTCCCGGTGGGCTCAGATCGCTGGGCGTCTGTGTCGAGTTGTTGCTGGTGGTGGTGACATCCTCATTGTTGCCACTCGCCTCGCCACCAGAGCTGCAACGAGAATTTGGTGAGTTCGTGTGAGAAATCCAAAGCCCAAAGCCGACATGGAATCAAGTTTTGTAAACATAATGGTAATGGCGGCGCGACAACGTGTCGGCAAAAACAGAGACAGGAAACAGGAATCCAGGGGGTTGTTTATGCTGCGTGTTCATGTTTATGTTTTTATGTTGGAATTTTCCCCCTGTCTGTTTTCTTTTTTGGGGGTTGAATGGTGGAGCGGCGGACATGGAGCATCAAGTCGCCACTCAAGTAAAGCTTTGTGCACTGAGAGAACTTGGTTTTGCAGTTCCTGATTTTATATAAATCATAAAAACACTTATTTTGAGCTTGATCATTGATCGTTCAAGGGAGAGCATAAAGCCTTTTCATTACGAATTTATTTGAGTTAAATTTTGTTCTCTGTACTCACTGATTGGATTTCACGGGCAGAAACATTCCGACTGTGTTTATGTTTATAATGAGGGTTTATTTGTGGCTCTCTTATCGCAATGCTTCAGCCTGGCTGCTCCTAAAACATTTCCTGTGGCTTTTGGTCCTTGGTTGATGCTTGATGTTTGACGTTGATGTCTTCAGTTCGGTTCAGTCTTTTCATTGGCAGTTCCAGGGCTCCAACTTCGGCTGGAATGAGAGCCAAAAATCAATACCTGGGACAATTGTTGTGGTCGCCACCCGCCTGGCGGGGAATATCCTCGAATTTAGGTCACATGGATATATATCCCTGACGGTTCGTTTGACATGATATCATTCCGGCTTCTCTTCTCTTTTTTTTGTTTGTATTTTTTTGGCATGTCAAAGTGAAGGAAGCATCTGAATGAAACTAAAAACTGGGTTAAGTGCCTCCTCCTCGTCCTCCTCCTTGAGAGCCCAAGCCATTGTTCTGGCCACATCCAAGCATTGTTGATGTCAGGATGCGGAGTGGCTGAGGACTTGAAGGACCCCAGGAAATGGGGCAGGATGTGGCCCCACCAAATTGCTTGTCGCATGCAACTTGCGCATTTTGCCAACGATTTGGCTAAGCTGACAAACAAGCTAAGCTAAACAGTTAACAAGTAGGAAAGTTCCAAGGAAGAGTGCTTGTTGGGTAACACTGCCAACTTATCCTATAATTTATAAAGTAATAGGTATTGAATATATGCAGTAGCAATCATTGATGCAAGGATTATATATGACCAAAAAGATATCAACATTAAAATATTCCAGAGCTGCATTAATTATTCTTTATTGATGATGTTTGACTATTTTTCCACATTAATTATACGTATTTTAAAGACCATCACCATTAATTTCACCAGAACCTTAAAACGCAGTGAAGGAGTCAATTCCGACCACATAAACCATATATATTCTAGATCAGCATCAAAACCTGAATCGATCTAGCCATGACTGGCAAAAAAATAAATTTTATTATTTTTTGAAAATTTTATAAGGGGTTACATCGTTAAAACTTGAAAAACTTTATAAAAATTTCAATTTTTTTAACCTTTAAAATTAAGTATGCAGATTTGTTAACCTAGTAAAAACTAGCATAGGGCAGTTTTTGGAATTAAAATTGATCAATTTTTAGCCTTGTTATGATATTTTTCACTAAAAATGATCATATAAAAATATTGATCTATAGATCATATGAAGCACATATTTTATGTGTTCTTGGTAATAATTGGTGAAGGAATCATTTCCGACCCTAAAAACTGTATATATTCTTGATCAGCATCAACAGGCGAATCTTTCTAGACATCTTTTGGAGTAGGAAATTTTTGTTCAATTTTTCAACATCTTTATAAGGGGTTACATAGTTAAAATGTTCAAAAATAGCAAAAATTCAAATTTTAAACATTTTTTAACTCAATACGCAGATTTGTTAAGCTTAAAAAGACTAGCTCAGAATTGCTTTCCGATTTGAAATTAAAGCATTTTTGGCTTAGTTACGATATAATTGCAAACTGCAAGGGAATGCAAATTTCCATCTTGTATTTTGAATAAGAAATCGTATTTTGAGGATCAACTGCCTTTTAAAATATTCTTGACAATTTATGCGTCTCTTTATTAGTTCATAAATAAAACCAAATCGATTGTTGAATATATAATTAGTATTATTTTTCCAGACTAAAGACAAGCTTTCATCATTGGAAAGTCTCTCTCTCTCTCTCTCGCTCATAATTTGGGGTCAATAAAACGCGTCTCTGACAGCACATGTTTTTAAATTTAACGTCACGAATTTATAGCTGCATTAACAGAAACACGGCAGCAACAAAAATATAATAAAAAAAAGACGGCAAGCGCTTAAAACATACAAAAATTTCACTTTGCCCACAACGCACACGAATTAACGACAATTTCGGTTTGTGTTTTTAGTTTACCTTTTCTTTTTTTATATTTTCTGTTTTGTTTTGTTTTGTTTTGTTAGTCAGCCAACCAACTAGTGTTAGCCAGTGTGCCATGCTTGAGGGCGCAATTGTGCTGGAGGGCAATGTCCGCCGCGGGCTGTCACCCACCCCTGGAAAAGCCTACCCTTCCCCCTCGCACCCCGTGGCAGAAGAAGCCCCATTAGGCTAAATGTTTACTGCCCTGCCAAATCAAAAGCAGGCCAACAAGCCATCGTGGGACAGCCCTCGATTTGCCCGATGCATTCGCAGTTTCCCCTATTTGCTGCGGGGTCAGCAGTCGTCACACAGGGCGTATGAGTAATTAAAGGCAACCGACCAGGGTCAGAGTAGAATAATGCGTTGTGGTTGACTTCCAGAAACTAACACTTTGTACAGCTAACGGGTTTTTTTTTTTGTTTGTGGTGCGGCAACAACAATTAAATTATGCTAATAGTGAACTTAATTCGCCTTTTAGTTGCGCACAGAGAGAGAAAATGGGGTTGAATTACGAAGAGAGTTGCAAAATAATGTGTTCTTACCAGTTTAGAATGTTTTACTTAAATAATTATAATAATTTCTTGGAGAAGGTAAGAATTTGCTTAAAATCAAGAATTTTTCTACACAAAAATATAGATAAGATATGCAAATTTCTAGGCGTGCAGTTAAAAGGGCAAACAAGAACCATGTTTAGCTTACACGCAAAGCCGCAACATGCAGAGAGGGGGCGCAGGAGGTGGATTCACAGGAAACGGAAGTGGGCAAGGTGGAGCAGGAAGTGGGCTTCAGCAAAAGGTGTAACTCTCACGATGACCTTCAGGTGTGAGTGGGAGCACTGACTCAACCATCCACTCAAAGGGGTGGCGGAGGTGACTAAATATAAAACAAACTCTACTAAAAATATGATTATCAGAGAGAGAGAGCGGAGAGCTGGTCCCTAGCAACATCTGCTCGTGGCGACTGTTTGGGTGTGAAATTCAAATTAACAAGCCAGCCGAAATACGAACAAAAATTAAAGTTTGCTCCGCACGTACATATGTATGTAGAGGAGCCCCCTCAAAAGTCTCATTCAGTAATATTTAATGCTTTTTGGCGACAGAGCAGAACAGAGTGGAGAAAACAAAAAACAAATAAAGCAAAAGCAGAAACAGAAACAGAAATTGTGCAAACATTGTGGACCGGTTGTAGTTTTTTATTTCGGCCAGAAAGAACACAATCGCTGAGCCACCTCCTTGGCCTGCTCCACGTGACTGGGCCCAGTTGAAATCACAAACTAACAATGCAAAAACCATAGGGTACCTATAGATATTCTATATGTATATATGCTGCTGCACGCTCCATTGATGATTAACCCACTGTTGCTGCAATTGCAATATAATATCTGCGTCCCTCCAAGGTTAACTGCTTCGGCAGTTCAGCGGAAATCAACCGTCAGACTCCGAGTTAGTTACAGTGAATAAGATGCAAATTATGGAGCGGGATCAGAGGGGTAATTTTGCTAACTGATGAAGCCGAACTTAGGTAGCTGGCATTTGATTTATTTCCCAGAATTTTAGGTGACACACAATATTATGATTGGGTCCCACAAACCAAGGTTTTTCAATGTTTTGTACAAGTTTTTAAGCCAAGATAATATTTAATAATAAAAGAATATGAACTATAAAATTAGTAAAACAATTAATATTTAATAAAGCTACCTACTAAGGTTTCTTACTATAAAAATAAAGCTCACTTTGCTTGTTCAAACTTTATTTCCAATTTGTTCAAAGGGTACCCAAACATACAATACATTTATTTATAATTATTTTCAAAAATGTAAAAGAAAAAGTAGTAACCGAATGCACGTGTTCCTCTCCAGAATTCATTAAACTCCCCCGCATAATATTTCCACACTTGTTTAGCACATATTTTGTAGGCTTCTAGCCCCTCCAATGAAGGAGAATAAAAGAGCAAGAGACTCTGGAAGACGCCCGCGCCCCAAAACCGAAAAAAAACAAGTGCCAGTGCGTGCTTGGCAAAGAGGTTCCCGGTGCCAAATTTGGGATGAGGGTTACATCTGGATGTGGGGCAAGTAAACAAATGGACAAATGGAACGAGGGACGACGACGGCAAACAACAGAAGTTAGCAATGGCCACTTATTATTAAGTATACGCCGCGTGAGCCAACAGATTGACAGTGTATTGGGTAATCCATGTCCATGTTAGTTAATTTTGGGAACGAGGGTTAAGGGCTGATGGTATGGGCGAAAGCGAGTGTTACCGGCATTTTTGGGGGCTTTTTGGACGACGGGTCGTCAACCTGCTGGCAGCACAGCGCGGGAAATGTGAAAACAGCCGTTTTTCCCCCAAACGCGCAGGCGCACTGATGCGCGAGTACGAGCACTCCCAGGGGATGGTCGAAAAAGGGAGTTAGCAGGATGCAACGGCATGTGCAGAGGTTACTCCTGCTCCTGCTCCCAAAAAAGAAAACCTTGAGGCGCCGCACCTTTAACTCAAAAATGTTATGGCTTTATGCTCCTCCTCCGTTGGTCTTTAATTCCTTTTAATTGCACTTGACTTCCTTGGTGGCTCTCGGGCGAGTCCTGTCCATTGAGGAGTTCACTTTTCGCTACGAATTTCAACTGCTGTGAAGCCAATTCCTTGCTCGCAACTACACACAAGAGCTGCTGCGCTAACGACAACTTCGCGGCACGAAAGCTTAAGAGCGACTGAGCGAGGGTCCGTCTGGTGTGGCCCCAAGAACCCAAAGCTCGGCGTGGAGCGGAACGCTTGGATAACGGAACACTACCGAATAGCTAACGGGCTAGAGCGACTTTTTGGTGCCCTCCTTAGATGGAGCAGAATGTTATTATTATTTGCTTTTCATCTGAGTTGCTCGGCCTTCTGTACCTGTGCAACCCCTACATATATATTGCTAGCACTTATCCACAACTGTGAGTCTTAGTGTTGCTGATAACATTTTCTCATTTTACCAAATATCATAACATAGGTTAATAAAAATTTAAAATTATTTATTGCATTATATTTGTTTTATATGACAATTTATTCAACAAATCAAAGTTTAAAAAACTCATAATTAAGCCAATAAAGCATTGAATTTAATTTGGAAAGCAGCCTTGTGTTAGTTTTTATAAGAATAATAAATCTGCAGACCCAAAATAAAATGTAAAAAATTCAATTTTATTCTTTTTTTTCTGGCAATAATAACACCTTAAAAATGTTGAAAAAATTGTCAAAACTGTATGTACTTTTTTAATGCTTAGAAAGATTCGCCTGTTGATGCTGATCAAGAATATATATGGTTTATGGGGTCGGAAATGACTACTTAACTTTCTTTTAAGCTTCTGACTTAAGCTATAATACCATTTTTTAGTCGATATTATTTATATTCTTATACGACAATTTGTTGAACAAATCGAGCTTTAAAAAACTCATAACTAAGCCAAAAATTAATTAATTTTAATTCGGAAAGCAGTCCTATACTAATTTTTATCAGGGTAATAAATCTGAATACTCAAAAACAACTGTAAAAATATTCAATTTTTTTAATTTTTTTTCTGGCAATAATAACCCCTAAAAAAATTTGAAAAAATTTTAAAAAATATATGTACTTTTTTAATGCATAGAAAGATTCGCCTATTAATGCTGATCAAGAATATATATGACTTATAGGGTCGGAAACGACTCCTTCACAGCGTTACAAGCTTCTGTCTCTGCAAGGATATACAAATATATACAAAAATGAATATAGTTTAACCTTGACTATTTCCCTTTAAAATCTAAACTAAAATATATGGTCTGGAAGTTGACTTGAACTTGTAATTAACGCTTAATTAACAAACTGTTTGTGCGACAAACTTTTTGCTTAAACGTCGAGCAGACAAAGTTGTCAATGGCCCATGGAAGACCTCCTCGCCCTGACTCCTGACTCTTGACTCTTGACTCCTGTCTCCCACCTCAGACTCGGACTCGGACTCGGAACTCGGAACCATTAGCACGCCCAGCGTGTGCCGCAAAAGAAGCTGCAACCACTCGCTGCACACACAAATCCAATTAGGAGCAACCACTGGTGGCCAGGGTGCGCACAGCTCCTGGCCCGGCTCCTGCTCCTGCTCCTGGCTAGTGGCTGGTGGCTGGTGGCTGGTGGCTGGCTGGCGCTGAAAGGATAAATGGATGCAAGGCTCACAATGGCCGGCGCTAACCACTGACCCTATTATGCTAATACGGTGGCAAGACTCAAAAGCCTTTGACGTCACGTCAGGCGGACGTCTGAGAGATGCCGGGAATCCAGGAGTATAAAGGATGGAGCCGGGAGCACGGCAATGGCTGGCAATATCAGTTGCTTGGGAAATTGCGCAATATGACAGGATAATTGCATAAAAGGGTCCTTTGGCACACCTGAGCCTTATTGGCTGAGCCAGTGGCTGACTTGCTGACTGGCTGACTGGCTGTACGGAGGAATGGCATGGAATCCAATGCGCCACTTGGACACTCGACTCCCAATTGCCAGTGCCATTTGCCATTTCCGTGCATATTTGAAAACTGCCAAAGCTCAAGTCGCACTTGACGGAAACCAAGCAAAGGTGACACGTCCCTTCTGGCTGGTGCGCATGTCCCCAGCGTGCCTTATTGGACGAGGAGTCGTCGTCGTCGTCGTCGTCCTCGGGCAACAGGTGCTGACTTACAGGTAAAAAAAAACTAAACTAGAAAGCGGAGCCCGAAAGGATTCCCGTGGAGTTGGGCTGGGTTCGCGACCCTCGAGGAGCTATAAAAGCGAACGGTCCAAGCGACTTGGCCGTTAGTCGACTTCGCCCCTGCGGCGTGCAACTCGATCTCCGCCGTGGGACCAGTTCCCCTCTTGAAATTGTCCAAAGTTTGTGTCCAAGTTTCACCGAAAATGTTATCAAAATTTGCAACTATTTAGCCCGCGTTGGTGTCTCCAGAGAATGTAACAACATCCCCAAGGAAACCTTTAAAGAAACAGCCTCAAGATGTCACAACTCCTATTGAGGCGACGGATTCTGTTAATGGTGTTACTCTGTGCGGGTATGTCAAAGGGATTTTAAATATGAAAAAGTTATAAAATTAACTTCATTTTTAATGAGTACAAATATTGATTTAATTAATGAAATCCAATTATTAAAATAATCGAAATTAAGGTTACTTCGGAGCCAAAAGATCCTACGAAAGTTGGAGATGCATAAAGCAAATTTAAATAAAATTCTAAACTTATTCCGATCTTTCCTATGGTAGCTATATATGTATAAATATATGCTTAAGTCGTTTGTTTTCTCTAAAATTAATAGCATAATTTTGAAACCATAAAACCTGGTTATATCTCGTGTACATGTAAATGTATTGCTTCTTATGTATATTGGAAGATTTTAATCTATAAAGTCTTTGCTAGGTGATTCTATGACTTTTTCCATTTTATTTCTTTGTTTAAATTATTCCAATTTCCGCAAAGCTTAAATATCAGAGAGGGGAAATAACTCCCTTAAAAACTATCCCCATTCTACTCACTCGCTTTCAGTGCTCGACACTTTTGTCGAATTGAAAGTTGACCTTTGATTAGGAGTCGCATTGCGCCTATCACTAATTAAAATCTGTAGGGGCGGGAGCGGAAATTGGATGTCATACCCTTTTTTGTGAAAAGCCACCCCTGTTCGCGGCTCCTCGGGGAACCCACAATTAATGGGCCATTCTCCCGATATGTATTCCCACTCGACAGCTCCACTGCGAAGCGCACCTTTCGGCGGAGCAGCAGCCACAACTGGGGACCAGCAGACGACACTGAGCCGTGACCTCCGAATTCCGGTGGGGTGGGAAAGCGATTGGGAGTTGGATCCAAACTGGGAGTCCATAGAGAGCGGACAGCCGGCGCCGGCGACGTCACGCGCCTTCCACGATGACCTTTACCCCGTCGACAACGGAAATCCCAGAGAGCCGAAATCCAGCAGCACGGAAATGGACAAGCAATTGTTTGGCAGCTATTTCCCAGCACATCCGGAATTTTTGGGCCGCCAGTGGCATCTGCAGCAGCTCAAGCAGCTGCAGGTGCAGCAGAAGTGGCAATCTCCGCCAGCCAAGGCCAAAAGGACGGCCATACAGTGGCCACCACCCGGTGATTACGATGATGAGGAGCAGCAACCTTCGGCTGGGGAGCCGCGTTATCCCTTCGCCTATGCCGCCTACAGCTTGCCCTGGAAACGCAAGCACATGACACCGTCACTCCGCTATATGCCATCGATCAGTGCTGGTGGGTATCGGGGTGGGTGCAGTCCCCCAGAAGCTGGACACCTCACCTAGTGCCTTTTCCTTGTTCCTCTAGGAGCCATGACCAATCTGGGTGACTTCTTCAACCGTCTGGAGGCGAATGTTCGCTTTGCGGAGCAATCCCAGCTGGGCGAATCGGAGACTCGGCTACTGGAGGGCAAGCATCCGCATCCGTTCCAACACATAACACCGATGCCGCCCGCCGATGGCCCCGACCCAGATCCCGTCCAGCAGGAGGAGCAGGACCGTAAGACATCCAAGCTGCTCCATGCCCTGCGCAGCTACCGGCCCTCGCAAAAGATCCGATCTTTGGTCTCGCGCAACCCGCAAGGCTACCGCTCCCAGCTCATTGATCCCAGCTACATGTGGCTGGGCCTGGGCAAATGACCAAGAGTCCAGGGCCAAGCATCCATCCGCAATGAGCTGCTACTACGGTAGGTGCCACAACGAAAGCCACTTCGTGTCCCAATTTAAGCTATGAATGTGTGTCCCTCCGTGTGTGTAAACAATATATATATATTTAAAGGCAATTCATAGAAGGTATTCTTCGAATTTCTGAAATATTCATGAAGGTAAGTATCGTATTAACGTTACAAGAATACTATAATCCATGTCTCAGGAACAGAAAATGATTACATTTTATTTGTAGGCACTTTTGAGACTTCTAAGGCCATGTGTAGAAGTGGTAAAGGGTTTTGAAATAATAATAATAGGTAAATTAGAGTCCCATTTATATAGGGAACGATTATATTGATAGTTTTGATTATAAAAAGTTAAAGAAATGCTCGCTAAAGAGAGCCTTAAAAATATTGGGAGCCACATTCTTTCCGTTTTAAGGAACTTATTGATTGTTGGGCAATCCCTCGTAGTTTCTGGCACTGCTCTGCGGCGGGATAAGCGGACGCTGCAGGTCGCTGGTTCGCTGAATCTGCTTGTAGAGCGAATAGATGCCGTAGTACAGGTACCAGCTGAGAGCTGCAGAGAATATTTGGAAATATATAGAAGAATATTCAGCATAAAGCTATTAATTTCACTTACTGATGGTTACCAGAGAGACCAGGATGGATGGCAAGGCACTCGTGAAGGACACCGAACTGAGCTGCACCCACATTCCGATTTGGGTGATGATGCCAAAGATCAGGGTCACGCCATTATTGAATAGCCAGGGCAGAAGGTAGAGATGGCGTTCCTAATGGGAGGGAAATTAATTAATGTTTATATATTGTTTACAAATAATTTAAATCCCCTACAGTCTATATCATATATAACCCTAATGAGTGAACAAGTAATTGCTGTGTGAATTCTTTATCAGCCGTAGATGCATTTTTCATTCCCACTGATCAGTGATTCATTCTGCTTATCAATATCTTTTACCTTATCTGGATTGTTGTTTATATATGATACTTGCTAAATACTCGCAGAGTTCAGGGTAAATTGTGCTATAAAGTACATACATACGATGGGAAACTTCGTTACCCGTATATTTCATGATGTATTACAACGAAATTTAGGGGTATTAGTTATAAATTCTTAATAGATCGGATAAATATATAAATATTTTTCTCTACCAAGTTCCTTTGTCCCAGTATGCCAACAAGTATGCAACGATTTGCGACAAGTGATAAAAGTGCTTTCCTTTTTTTTTGGTTCAGTAACAATAAGCGCCTGATTATCAATCTCTGAGTCATAAAATAAGCGGAACTCGGACAAAAATTGACACGCTATCTGGCTATACATATTATTTACCACGTACTCTACCATCTCCTCCCTGACCCTGCCCATTATTCTTACCTTAAGAGTGCCCACGATCAGCATGCCCGAGGCCAGGAGGTTGATCACCTGCAGCGCCAGGTAAATGCTCAAGATGATCACCAGGACTGGGAGAGAAAGGAAAGCAGTGAAAATGATTGCACACTATTATGTATAGTCATTAAACCTACTAGTGCGCACTTCGTCAACCGTTAGCTTGGTATTGTGGTTTTCCTCGACGATCTGCCGGGCGAGCTCATCGGCGTTTCCCAGACCAATGGACGTGAGGATCACGGCCAGAAAGGAGAATATGACGCCAATCCATCCGAGGCCGACACCGTAGGTGCTAAGCCGCATGCCACACACAGAGTTCAACATTTTCACTAGTTTCCGGGGATTCCCCTTTTAAGCAGGAACAGAAAATAACAAACTGTACGATTCGCCGGGCGGTGCAAAAATGCAAGTGCAAAATAAGTCGTAGTTATCGTTTATTATTTAGGGATGGAACGGGAACCAAAAGCTCTCGGATTCTTAATTATATATTCTAGGGACAGCGATGCCAGACTGTTACATTTAAAAAGGTTTGGCGCTGTTTCAAAATGGTTTGACGAATTGAATTTTAAGAAATAAAACTAACGTCGGGATAAAATTTAAAAAAGGGGCCACTCTCTTGGCCATTTTCACAGTTTATAATTCCTTTGCAGTTGCAGAAAAACAAGACCTCTTGGCGACGTTCTCAAAATACAAATGAATAAAAGAGCCATTTGCAAATGAAGTCAAGGATGTTGAAATATTTAGTTCCATATTTAGTTACATACTTAAAATAATATTTTAACGTCATAAACTATAAACGTTCCTAGCTGCATCTAATTCATTTATTGAAGCGAAAGCGAAATCATCTTTAATTAAATATTCTCCAATTTGGGTGTATACAAAATATATATTTTTTCACAGACATTTGGATATACATACATAAATATAATTCGCCTTGCAGTTACATTCGAAAAGTGATAAACGCAGATACAGGCCACAACGGGTAAGTAATAAAATATAGAAAAAATATAAAGAGCATGCGCCAAAAGACACTGAATTAGATTTAGACGCACATACAAATATCGCTTTTGTTCGTCATAGCGAAGCAAACAAATCGTTTTAATTTTTATATATATGAAAAGATTATCGCAAATAGAAAGCTGTACTGATATGATTCGAAATCTGTTGATCACGGGCTTAGAATCACTCATGAGCCAGCCTAAATCTTGGTGTAGCTGGGGTACGAATTGGTCTGCTGGGAGGCGGGTGCAATCAGCGGACGCTGGATATCACTGGTGACTTGGATTTGCTTGAACAGCGAGTAGATCCCATAGTACAGATACCATCCGAACGCTGGAAATTGCAAAAAAAAAAATAATAATAATGCTATCAGCATCGTGCCCAAGTATAATTAAATGAACACAGCAGCCAGCGGCGCTGCGATAACCCCAGTTGTGGTTGAATTATTTCACAATTTGTGTGTACATCGCATTTTCAATTGCGGCGGGGAAAAACTGTGAATCATGCCACAAGCTTACCGAGAATAGCCATGGAGAAAAGAATGATGGGCAGGGCATCCAAGAAGGGCGTCGGGGAACTAAAAACTTGCGCCCAGAGGCCAAGGTGTACGACAATGCCGAAGGCCAGTATAACTCCATTATTGATCAACCAGGGCAGCAGGAGCAGATGGCGTTCCTGAAGATGTAGAAAACTTAGTTAATATTACATTCTATTGCCTATACGGGGACATGTCCCTTAAGAATGATATTAACTCCCTACCTTTACAGTTCCTACGAGCAGCATGGCCGAAGACAAAAGATTGATCACCTTCAGCGCCAGGTAAACACTCAAGCTAATCACGAGAACTGAAAAGCCACAAATGTAGAGTATTATATCTAGATATCACACATATGTATGTTCATATATATATTCAAGAAAACCCACCGCTGCGCACTTGATCCAATGTAACATCAGCACTTTTGCTGCCGGCGACAATCTGCTGCGCAATTTCATCGACGAATCCCAGGGCCACGGACAAAAGGATCGTGGCCAGGAAGGAGAAGATGATGCCCAGCCAGCCAATGACCACACCGTAGGTGTTCAGTCGCATGCAAAACACTTTTGTCAACATTTTCACTGGTTTCCGGTTATAATAGTTTGGAGATTCGTTTGGAGAAAAAAACAAGAGCTCTTGCCCGGCTGCTCGGAATGCAATTGAATTGCAAATGCATGGCACTTGAAAGCTTTCGTGCGACGGTGCTGCCAGATCGATAAGAAAAATAATGGATGCGTCACATTTATTTTTACGATGCTCAACTGTTAGCATTTAAATATAAATACCTATAAAATTTTAACATTCGTTGAAACTAAAGAAACTTTTATTAAAATTAGATATGCCAAAAATATTTGATTATTTATTTATATTTATTGTAGCTAATTTTTGATTATGATACATGATAAAAAGTATACATATCCAGTCACTGTTTTAATTCAACATGAAGTAGTAACGGTACCAGGGCTGCAACAGACAGATTTAAATGAAAACTGTTAGGATGGCTTGAAGAAGAAGAATGACTAACATCCATTTGGATAATTGTTATTTTTAAAATCGAGATGTGATGCTATGACTCGTTATCTTCATTGTATATCATCACAATGTTAGGCCAATGCAAGCTAACATCTTCCCACACGATATAATTGTTGTTGTTCCGGTCCTCTCGCAAGCACACAAAGCTAAAAATGCATACACACACGCACATTTATTTAGAAACACTAAGCAACAGGTTTTCCCGTATATTATATTTACTGTTTGGTTTATACAAGAAATATATGTGTATGTTTATTGTTTATTTTAAACAGCGAGTATTTCCATACATTGCATTTTCTTGCATAGTTTTTAAACATTTTCAAACTGTAAAGTATTGTCAATAAAAAATGTTAAATAAACAGGTATAAATAAATATTTAATTATTCGCGCACAATATCAGTGCTTGCCTTGTTGTCTAGTCTAACCAAACTGTTGCTTCCCAAAGAATGTGTAAAATGGAATTCAGTTGTTATTCGCCTCTTGCCGAGCTTAGTCGCTTTTCCGTGCTCCAACTTGCCCCCAAAACCGGTTTCGCCGTTTTTGGTTACTTTTCGTGAAAATTTAATCAGCATTTAAGATGAAAATCGATCTGATCGTGGACCAGGGACCGTGCCAAACGGAGCTCAGGAGCTGGTGCCTGGGCATTGCCATATACTCGCTGATATCCATGACATTCAGCGTGCTCTTCGCTCCAACGGGTAGGAGAAATTTCAAGGCGTGGCGGCATTTGTTTATTTCAAATGCTACGGCCTCCTCCGCGCCATTGTCTTAGAGCATAGAATACATACGCGACGACCACGGCGTATAAATTAAAACCATGAGCTAATCCATGGAGACACAAAAAAAAAATAAAAACACGTTCCACTTTTTGGATCGATGACGACATCGGTGACAGATGCAAGCTGATGTTTTCATTCTAAAAATGTGCACACATATGAAAAAGTTCAAGATCACGTTTTGTTGGGTTTGATATTTGATACTTGGATATCTTAACCACAGATCCTAGACAATATTTTGTGTGAAATCGATCTGTATAGCTAATATCCAAGATACCCATAGTGCCCTTAAAATATTTACTTTTAAAATTAAATAAATGCGTGAATATGTTCAAGTTCATAATTCTTACTTAATACGTATCAAGTACCTTAAGTTCACGATCTTAAAAACTTTTGCTTTAATATAAACATAAATCTATAAATACCCATATTTCCATTAAACGTATACATATGTACAATTTAATAGAAAAACTTGGAATGTCTATTAAATAGTAATCATATTTCTTCCTGTGCAGTTGTAAACTTTGTTGGCTTTGCCATTGCCGTCATCGCTAACGTGCTCCTGCTGATCGGAACCCTTAAGGTTAGTTTCACTTCCGCTTGGCCAGATAAGCTTTCCTGATTCATTACTGTGCTTCTTCTTCTTTTATTGTCTTCCAGGAAAAGCGATTGCTCCTCCTGGGGTGGCTTATCTTCGCCCTGATTGAAGCCATCTCGTTTCCCTTTGCCGTTTTCGGTGTGATCTTCCACTATGGAGGCTATCGCGAGGCCACCGGTTTCAACAACATCTTCGGGGCCCTATTCGTGTACATCATATCGATCTGTGAGTTTAAGCAGTCCTCTTGTGCTCTCCAGAGCTCAGAATGAATCACCTCCTTATCTTCCCTTCCCTAGTAATCGTTGCGTTCTGCGCCCGCCTCATTTACTCGCACTACGTCCAGCTGAAGAACCGCGAGACGAGCAGTCCCAGGACCACGGCCGTGGTTTAGGCTGGATTTCGACTTAACTTAGTTAGTTAGTTTGGCAATAAATAATTCGCTTTTGTGTTTTGATTGCAGTTTTGTCTCTCTTCTTATTCACATCCGGAACATCCGCAACTATCAACAGTTAGATACATTGGTTATGGTTATATTATAGTTATACATATACAATTACGGGGTGCTAGTCCTCCTCAAACACACAACAGTTAAAACGATCGATCACACTACGGACATTTCTATCTATATAGCTAGCTATCATACTATCGGCGTCATCTCCTGATCCAGCGCTACATCCTCCTCACCCTGCTTAGACATAAAATGGAAAGTTGGTCTTCTTGTTATTGTTGGTGTGTTGGGTCTGCTGCATGAAGCTCGTCTCGGCATTTTGGCTGCTTAGCTTGGCCTGCACGGCGGCCAGGATGCGCGATGGCTGGCCTGCCTCCAAGGCAGACTCCATGCCTAGATTCAGATTCAGATTCAGCTTGAGCTCGAATTGAGATCCATTCGCTTGGATCTGCGACTGCGTCGGCGGCCGGTGAACGGCAACCGGCTTTCATCTGGGCGTGGTGATACTGGGCAGCTTCTCCAGGAAGTCATTGGCCAGCACCTCCTCGATCTCCTGCAGGCAGTTAGCCACATCCTGTTCCGTGTCGGCAAAGTTTCTCGGCTGCGGGCAATTGAAGCCCAATGTGGAGAAGAAGGCGTACAGCTCCTGCAGCGATTGCAATTGCTGGAAATGCAGCATCAGATGCCGGTTGCTGGGCCGTTGCAAAAGCTAGAAGAAGTGCCAAACAAAAGATTAGCTTAATCGGAAGAAGATGTGTCTGCATTCAACCCTACTCACCGGCGACTGGCTAGTATACTTCATGTCCATCAATCTGACCAACCGTCTTACATGCGGAACGTAGATAGCACTGGGCAGCATGGCCAGGTTCTCTAGGCTGCCATTAGGGAGCCGCACCTCCTCCTCGTGCACGTCGAACTCGGTGCCCACGAAGGCCCAACGATACATCTGGAAATGCGGCAACTTGGTGGCCGGCAGCACGCATCCTAATTCAAGGAGCTTACAAGCCTCCAGCTGTACCGAGCGCCAGTGCTGCATAGGAGTCTGGGAGCTGTAGCCATTGCTGGCTGTCGAAGCGGAGGACCAGGAGACATCAATACCCGAGGGCATGCGCATTTGTTGGCTGCATAAGTATAACCATTTTTTAATTAGATCTTGCAATAGTTTACATATGGATGAACTCACTTTCTCTCCTCGCTCTCCGACTTGAGTTCCTGCTCCATTTGCAGGAACACCTGCACCATTTCCGCAATAATGATGGGCCACAGGGAGGTTACGTGGTCGGGTGACATGCGGAGGAGGAGCACACGGAAACACAGGAACACGGCGGCCTGAACGGAGGGACCCATTGGAACGAGTCGCAAACTGTTGGCCAGTTGCTCTGTTGGGACACAGAAAGAGTTATCGTGTTTAATTCCCCACAGAACCTTTACAATTAAATACTCTTAATCATTATATTTTTCGAGGAGCTAAATCTTAAAGAATTTTACGTGAATGAGATTATTTGATGTACTTCCTGCCTGTTCCTTATCTTATAAAGAAATATATACATATACAATATATTATTAATTTTATCAAAATTCCAACCGCATTATAAATAGTTGAGTAAATTCTCAGATATTTAAGATTCAAAGAAGATGCCTCCCTTTTTTCTTTCGTTTAATAAAATGCCAAGTTTGCAAGATTGTTTCTAGTTTGGCCAAGCAAAAATTAACTGCAGACTCGACTAAAAATGGAATCAAATATCCCTATTATAATCTCTTGGTCTGTCTGGATTGAAGTTAAAGAGAAGACTCCGCTAGGGTCGTATTTCTCCACACTTACCCTGGATATCCGGCATGTACTTGTTGTGCTGATCAAACTCGCTGCAGTAGATGACAAAGGCCAGACGCTTGAGCAGCATGGCCCGCTGTTCGTACTCCTGGTCGCGCGATGTAAAGATGTTGAGGCTGCCCGCCTGTGAGAGCGAAACGCGGGTCATTAGCTCCCGGAATGTGGTATTGTCGTACGTCATTAGGCTGTCCATGATCATGCGCCAAAAGGGAAGGCACGAGAGGTGCATCTGGAAGAAGGCGTTGTCCAGCAGCAGGTCCAGCATATCCTTGCGCCACGCCTTCCTCGTGTACTGATACCCGCTCAGGCTAGCCAAGAGCGCCGAGCAGGCGTAGAAGAAGGGCACGTTCCGAGCCGTGTGATTCTTCAAGTACGGAGTTATATTATACAGCAGCGGGGTGACAATATTAACCACTTTGTCCTTCTCCTGTGACCCGTATGCCACGTCCAGCAGGTTCGACAGGATGGCTGCCAGAACGCTCTGCGCCTGGAGGGAGTACTGCTGCAGTCCACCGCCGCCTACGCTGTTGTCCTTGGCCAAGCCATCGGTGTCCTCTTTAACGGCCAAGTTGCGACGCAGCCAGGTGGTCTGCTCCAGACAGGAGCCAGCCACGCTGGACAGCGAGTCCACCAGCCGCGAGGTGACGTCGTGCAGCTCTCGAACCTCCTTCTTGTCCTGGAAGGGCATCTGCGGACAACGCTGAACGAACTCGTTGAGCAGCATCAGCAGAGCGAACTGAGCTGGAGGCGTCAGGTTCAATCCATCTCGGATGAGGGCGAGCAGCGAGCTCCAGGCATCGGCCAGCTGGGGAGCCGGGGCCGATCGCATGTAGAAGTAAAATAGCTCCAACGAGCTTACCTCGATGCTGAGCTGGGCAGGCGGTCGGTGGATCGGCGGTGGCGAGCGAACCACATGATGCAGGGTCATAACGAACGAGTCCATCGGCATCACGCGAATGCTAGACACCAGGGACACGAGCGAGAGCTGGGCGGGACACGCCTGCAGCGTGGAGTTGCGCTGGAACTGCTCCGAGATGCTCAGACCACTCATATTTGCGGCAACGCCGCGCTGCTGCCAGGTGACGGCAACGGCGGCCAGGAAGTTGCAGCCGTGATGCAGTGAGACCGGCGACAGAAACTCCAAAAGCTGCTGCCGCACCGGTCGTAGCTGTCCCAGTTCGCTGTCCCAAATGGCAGCCACGCTGCTCATGATCCTTGGCAGGTGCGAGAGCACGGCATTACGCGCCGCCTGGAGCTGGGGATTCCTTGGCGCCGGCACTGACGTGCCGGAAGATTCGCTGGCCGACAGGAAGGAGTGGACAATGCTGTTGAGCAACTGTCCAGTGCTGGAGCTCTGGGCCGAGGAGCTGGTCTGCGGGTAGGCCTGGTTGAACAGGTGCGAGAGCGCCGTCTGCTGCGTGTTATCCAGCAGGCAGTAGTGGCAAAGGATGGTCAGGGCCTCCAGCTGGGATACGACATAGTCCGGCGGAAAATGTCGCTGCTGGGGTAGTGGCAGTTTGGCCAGACGATCCAGATTGCTGCACAGCTGGTGAACCACGCTGATCACGATATTGGTGAGAGAGCCGAAGGAGAAGCAGTTAAGCGAGGAGGTCACCAGGTCTGTCCAGTTGCGGTGCAGGTGGCGCAGTCGTTCCTGCTGCAGGGCGCCCAAGACGGCGGCCAGGAACATGGGCTGCTGGCTAATCAGGCAGTTGGGCAGATACTTGACATTGGCCGCCGCCGCTCCTTCGGTCAGGCGGGTGGGCGAGGCATTGCCCGCCGTATCCTCGCCCGCTGTGGGCGGCGTATCCTGCCGCACCTGATGCACCTCGTGCTCCAGCCGAATCACGGCAAGCAGCAGGCGTAGCAGCTGCAGTTGGAAGCAATCGGCATGCAGCTGGTCATCCTGCGGATCGTTAAAGCTGAGTACCTGCTCCGCATAGCTGGCCGAGTTGGAGGTGGTCCTGCTGCGGCCATAGCTGCACACGGAGCTATTGAGGCAGTGCAGCATCACCTTCTGAAGCTTGGCACGGGCTAGGAGGTCAGCGATGTAGCGGGCCAGCCCTGTGCCCATTCCCTTGACGATCTCGATCAGCTCAGAGCAGATCACCGTCAGTAGCTCAATGCTCTCCAGCTGGATCCTTCGGTTATTCACGATGTCCTGCAGCGTAGGCGGCTGCCTCTGGGCGTCCAGCGATTCCCTCTGAAAGTAGCCACGGGCGTAGAACAGGCATAGTGTGACCAACAGCTCCAGCTGCATGCAGCCCGATAGGCCTGGGCGTACTCCGAGCTGCCCACGCTGCCGTCGAAGCCCTTGCCGGAGATGCTCTTGCGATGGCGCACCAGCAGCTGCTTCAGGCTGCCGCTGGAGAAGGACGTGGTGATAGAAAGGCAGAGGAAGGTGCGACGATCGCAGCAGATGATATTGCGCAGGGTCTGCAGGGCGTACAGCGTCTGGCGCGTATCGTAGATGGCCAGGTAGAGCAGCAAGTGGTTGTGGTACAGGTGAGCGGCGTCGGTGAGGGAAGTGCTGCTCTTCATAGAGCTGCGCAGGCTGCACGTTTGCTCCTCCGCAGCCGCTGCAGCGGCTGCTGCTGCAGCATTGTTCTGACGCAAGATCTCTACATTCTGCTTGCCCTTCTCCAGGGTCTTCTGCATATCCGGCTGGAGTTTGCTCGTCTCCAAGCTAAGGTTGCGGCGCTTATCCTCTACGTTAATTGTGGACTCTGTGGCCGGCTCCTCTGATTCCTCCTCAAGCTCTGGCTGCTCTACGTGCGAACCACTAAGATTGCTGTCCGTGGAGGTCTTTGAGATGCAGCTGAGACGCTTCTTCTCGCCGGCAATCAACAGTTTCTTGCGCTTGCCCATCTTTTTGTCCTCCCGGAAATACTCGTCGGCCGGCAAGGCATCCGCTTGAAGGTCGGGCGTGCTCTGCTGCTCTTGCTCCTTTTGCTGAGACTCCAGCGAGTTGAGACTGCACTCTCCGGGTGTCTTCTCTCTGGTCAGGCGGTACGTCTTTCGGCTCTTGATCTTCTCGTGCTGCGACAAGGCCTCGGTGACCCGCTCGCAGTCGCCGACAAAGCGCTTGACATCGTCACTGATACCGGCACTCGAACTCACCGTGATACTGTCCTCCTTCTCCAGACTGGTCTCGCGCAGCTCCGAGTCCGACTCGAAGTCGCTGCTGTCCGAGTTGTCCGTTATATCCTGGTCAAAGTGGAGGCTCTGGTCGGGCTGCTGGGCTCCCCGTTGCGAATGCTCTTGCTCCTGCGAGGGCTGTTCGCTCTCGTCCATGGCACAGGCCAGCTTCTGCTCCAGCGGCGTCTCCTTGTGAGGTATCTCGATCCGCGGCTCCTCCAGATCCGTTTCGTCGTCAAAGTCGTTAGCATTTTCTAGTGGATTGATGATCAGGCCGATGGTGCTGACATCCTGGGCTGCCTCGCTGCTGCTGGTCACCGTTGTTGCTGCCGCTTTGTCGCTCACGAAGTTGGAAACCTTGTTGGCCTTGCCGCCGCTCAGTGTGACCCCAAAGATCTTCTTGGGGAAGTTCCGGATGGGGCTCTTCTTCTTACCCCCGCTGGTGGTCTCCATGTGATGATACTTCACGTTGCCCTGCTCCGAGCTGATGGCGTATACGTCGCGCTCAAAGGCAGGCGTGACTTCCGCATCGGCTTCGCGGTACAACTGCTGCATGTGAACGATGCCCACGCGCTTGGAGCTGGCGGAGAGTAGGATCTTGTAGAGCGGCTTGGTTACCCGGGCGAGATCGCCACGCAGCAACGAAGCCTGCAACCAGTTGGTCACAAACGTCCGCTCCGACATGTAGTGAGGCAGCGCCAAGGTGTCCAGCACCTTAAGAAGCGTCTTCTCAAACCCACGCGTCGGCTGCTTGGCTCTGCCCAGGTGCCACAGCAGCTCGAACTTCTTGAAGCTGCGCGCCTGGCTCTCGCGCAGTTTCTCCGTTGATTCCGTGGGGCACAGCAGCTGGGCATCCGCCAGGCGTTCCATCTGGAAGCTGCGCAAGGCTGTCCGGCCAAGGAAAGGCGGTTGAATTTGGAGGAGATGTTGTGCCTGCATCCGATTGCCAATTACCGTTTCCACCAGCCCACTCTCCAGGCAACTGTGCAGCTGATGGAGGAGCGCTGCAATCTGGGCTGGATCTATACCGGCGGCTCCTAGGTAATCCCACAGTATGGAGCTCACCAGCTGGAAGACGCGAGAGTGCTGTTCCATGTAGCTGACATGGCCGAACTTGAGCAGCGGCAGCATTACCACAAAAGTGACACCGGGACTGGTCGTGTGCTCGATTTGCGAACGCAAAAGGCTGAAAAGGGGTTCAAGACTTAGGTATTATTTTGCTATTTGATGTGAAAGTCCTCCTCAACTCACCTGATGAGATCGAAGAGCGTGGTAATGGCCGAGACCTGTAGCTCTTTGTCGCTCTGAGCAAAACATGCCACCAGGCAGAGGACCTTCAGCCAGTTGGGTAATTCAGGCTCTGAAATGGGTTCGAAACATAAAACAATATGATTAATCACTGAGCAGGAAAAGTCCCTGAATAAGAAACAAAATGTGGAAAAGTAATCACATGAATCATGAGAACCACGGACCAGGTTTTACCTGAGGTTTCTTAGCAATCTCTTAATCGTAGCTGCTATGAATAACTAAATACTCACCATTCCTGTCTAGAACAATGTGCTTGTTGCAGTTGGGAAACGTCGACATCTCCACGAGCAGAGTAGCTGCCAGTTTGACAGCTCCACGAAGGGATACGCTCAGCTGGAGCTCCGACAACTGCTGGACACTGCGTTGCGTTTGCCCATCGATGAGCAGACTCTGTTGTTTTTCCTCCTGTGCCTCGCTGTCGCTGCTTAGCTCACTGGCACTGACAGGCAGGGGCAGGGAACGATTCAACAGCCTCTGCAGCTGCTTGGAGCGCGGCACTATGTCCACGCGGAGCAAGTTGAACAGCCTCTCTATTTGTGACTCTCGCTCGGCGCACTCATGCTCTAGGACTTGCTCGGCCAGAAACAGATTGGAGGTGTGACTCGTACTGGTGGTTCTCTGCAACTGAACCCTCACCGCGCATTCCTTGGGCTCCGCTTGGATCTGGAGTATCTTACGGGCCAGGTAAACTTCGAAGAAGATCTCATACTGGCGGATGCATTTCTCCAGAATTGAGAAACCCCGCTGCTGTGTGGCCCGGCTCTCTTCGTCCAGCTGGAACTGCGGGGATTGCTCTGGAGGAGCACTCTTGGGTTCCTCGGTGCTAGGACCATCGCCGGCATTGCTTGTAGTGTTTGACTGAACCAGGGCAATGTCCTTAGGCCGCTGCTTTTTGGGACTGCGTATGAATGGCACCTTGGCCTTGGCCTTGAGCTTCTTAATGCTCCGCGGAGTGTCAAGATCCGAGGAGGACTGCGGTGTGTCCGAGGCGCTGATCTGTAAAAAATTAGGTAAATATTATCAAGGAAAGGTTAAAGCTTAAGCCTAGAAGGCCACTCACATCCTTGTCCAGCTCAGACAGCCTGGAAATAGACTTGGCCTTCTTCTTGTTGGGACTGTGCCGACCCACACTCTGATTGGAGGCCGAGCGCCGAATCAGCTCCTCATCGTTGTTGGGATCGGTGCCGTGCAGTGAGTTCTCCGCAAACTGATTTAGTCGCGAGTCCGACTTGCTCTTCTCCAGGGAACTGCTGGGCGCCTCCACTTTGTCACTTACCGAATTCACGGTGATCTTCTCGTCCGACGAGGAGCCACCGTTCTGCTCTATCAGCTTGTTCAGTTTTATGGGACTTCTGCGGAGAAATACAAACAGAGATAAGCGAGTTTCAAAATATGCCTTTGTTTCAGCTTACGTTATCATGGGCTGGACCCTGGAGACGATTTTCATGCAGAGCTTGAGCGAGGCCGTAATCTCGCTGCTGCTCACGCGATCCATGTGGAGGGACAGCAACTGGGTGATGGCCAGAAAGACCTTCGGCAGATACACCCTTGTGGTCTCCGTGTACATCTCCAGAGAGACGGTTTCCAGTAGGAATTCGGTTAGCACGCAGATCTCTAGCACACAGGGATCCCCCGAACCCACATCGCAGTCGTATCTTCCAGAGGTTTCTCCCTGTTGGACCCTCTCCTGCGAGGCGTTGGCCTGCTGGCAGGCTCTTTCGAACATGTTGGTCATGTAGCTCCAAATATACGCAGGATCGAAAGTGGCAAACAGAAGGTTGGCGGACTTTAAGGCCTCAGCATTCCCGCTGGAGATGTACATGGCGCGCATAATGTCATGCAGGACATAGTCCAGTACGGCGCTGCCAATCTCCGCCTTGTCTAGCAGGGAAAGCATGATCCTGTAGGGCTTCAGGTCCATGGGCGAGCAATCTAGGCTCAGCCGCAGCGTGGTGATTAAAGCTCGAATAAGGATGTGCCGCGAATGCTTCACGAAGTACGGTTCCGGCTCCGGCTCCTCCTCCGGGCCATTCGTGGTGTCCAGTGAAAGGGTGTCATAGGTGGGCGAGTTCTTGGCCACTTCGCTGCCCAGCAGCCAACTGAACAGTCGCCTGTTTAGCGACATATCCCGCCTGAGGATGGTATTGAGCCCATTGGTGACCAGCTTCACCAGATCGTCCTCGCTGAGCAGAGCCGTGTGCATGGGGAAGCCTAGCAGCAGGAACTCCAGGGTGTTGCGCTGCACCAGGATCAAAGAATCATTCAGGCAGGCGCACAACGCCGACATCATAATCTCCCTGTTGTGGCCCATGATGTAGATTTGCTCCTGCATGTCCAGTCGCTTGTTGAAGTGCTCCAGCAGATAGGTGATGGCCGGCAGCCTTATAGCCGCATTGTTTGCCACCGACTCCCAGAGCACCGTGTAGAAGTGCATGGGATTCACGGCATTGCACACTTGCTTGAGCAGAGAGCTAATCCGTTCAAAGTGATCCAAGCCACAGTCGTAGCCGGGCAAGACGCCATTGAGAAAGCCGCTCAGCGCAGGCCTCAGCTTGTCGCCCAGCGGCACAAAGTAGTTCTCGTAGATGGCCAGCAAAGCGGGCCTCACGTTCATGGCGGCATAGCCGAGTAGCGGGAACAGACCAGCGCTAAAAGGAGTAATTAAATCAGAGATTAGGTGTGCTTTATCTATCTGTATTTCGGAGGCCACTGACCTGTATATAAACTCCGTGGCCAGGCGCTCTGGCCCCGTCTTGCTGAATATCACCGAGTACGTCTCCAGGGCCTTGAGATGAACGCCGGAGGGCAAGGCGGGATGCATGCACTGTGCCAGACGCTTAGCTATCTTCAGGCGACGTGGAATGACCTGGTATTGCGTATTGCTCGATATGGCCTGAGCCACAAGCAGGAAGAGATAAGGTTGATGTCATGAGTCAGCTGCTCCAGCTTCGATTGAGGAGACAGAGAGGAGCTATACCTTGCTGAGCTTGCCCAGTGCTGATATCAAATCCGCCCACTCGCTGGAGTACTCGAAATTGCGCAGCGCCTTGTCTATGTTGGTCATGTAGGTGCGGTACTTGGCCTCCGCCATGAGCTTCTGCTCCTCGACGAGCGCGTCCGCAGAAGTCTCCATGGTGGCTCCGATCTCTAGCTACGTGTGTGTGTGTGCGGAGTCGTTGGCGATTTGGTGGGAGAAGAGCTCTGCAAATAATCAATAGTTAAGCACACTTGTTGCCCTTGGAAGTCGAGTTGGGGCTTGCATATTCGAAAAGTGTGGCAAGTGAAGCACCTGCGAAACACACTCTTTGTTCCCTCAGCACACTCACACACGGCGCTTCCGCTTAATTGGCAGCGGGTCTGGCAATTAACCCTAGATGTGTGTGTGGTTCGTGTTTGCGAGGCAATCTATACTTTCCAACTGCAATATCGGCCCAGAAAATAACGTCAGCGACGTCGTCGCGCGTGGCAGGAGCAGAAAATTGTAAATATGTGAATGCTCTCGCTCGGTGCCTCTCTCTTTCTCCGAAATGCAACGGGAATGGAGAGAGCGATAAGCTAGAGACCAGCTGATGACGAATATTCTGCTGTTTGCCCTAGGCAGCAGGGAGCGCGGGATGGTGGGGGGTGCGCGTGACGGAGACAGACACAGACAAACGCAATTGTTTTGAACTTTTTCGCGACTTTCCCAACTCTCTATTGCGGCCACCTGCAACTGCAACTATCGCCCCCGCTTACCACAGAGTATAACTGGCGATTTTAACACATTTTACATTGTATAAAGATTGCACTTTGTTTTTGTGTGTGGAATTTACATCTGGCAAATTTTTTTGGCTGTAACTCGCTAGCGATGGACTTTCGCTATTGATAACCGTGACTTCTTCGCCAGCGATAGCTTCGCTGTTGGTTATCACAACTCCCAGTGAATATTTCATTAACAATTAAAATTAGCAATTAAAATTTAGAGAAGTCCGAAACATAAATTTCGACAATGTTATCTAAAATAAATTTTGTTTCTACCAAAATAACAAATAACTGCGATTTTGAAAACCAATCAACAATGGCCATCACTAAGCTATCGATAACGATAGCTAAGTGTAATCCAAAATGTAACATATTAGAGGGAATACCGAAGTTTGTATACCCTTCAGTTTGCAATTGGATCATTAAGAAATATTATTGTTAAACTAAAAAAATCTAACTTAATAATACAATATGTAGACATATGATTTGTGGAAGGCAATAACAGTGCTCGATTTAGTTTATAATGGTTCATTAAAGTTCTACTTTTTACACTTCGCGTATCAGCAACGACCCTTTGAGCTTGTGTGCCTTATTAATACAGTGGGCCTTACAGGTATCTAACCTGTACAAATATGTAAGGTTGTATTAAATGTAATATGTATTTTTTAAATCAAATAAACATAGATATACTATCTCATGGATGAAAAGCTTGTATAAAATATATTATAATATACAAGCAGACAACGGAGCCATTTTAACCTTTGTTCCATTTACGAACGCATTATATATAAACAGCAAAATTATATATAGTGTTCAACTTCATTTTCCGATTGTTCTTATGTCAGCTATATTTTATAAGATAATATATAATAAAGTTAAATAAAATATAATTAACAAAAATTCGAAAACAATATAAGTTCTCGGAAAAGTATAGGCAAAATATGTCAAAAACGACGAAGTTCTTTCTCCCAATAAATTTCACGATATTTTTAAATTTCATAATATATTTATATATATTTTCATAAAATTAAATTGGAAATAAAAAATAATTAAAAGAAAAAACGAAACTAACTTCGAAGAGCCATCAAATGTTATACATGACTAATTGTATTTTTTGAAAAATCAATGTTTACAAAACGCCTTGCTAACCAAAAAAAATAATTAATTCCAATTTGGAAAGCTGTTTCATGTTAGTTTTTATTAAAATTATAAATCTGCATACTTAATTTAAAATTTAAAAAACAATTAAAATTTGTATATTATTAAAAAAAATTGTTTAATTAGAAAAATCTAATTAAATTATAAAAGATGTAGACATTTGATTTGTGGGAGGCATAAATGGTGCTCGATTTAGTTTATAATAGTTTATTAAAGTTTTACTTTTTACACTTCGAATATCAGCAATATAATGGTGTATTCCTCTTCTCCTTCTCTACATGCATTCTCTGAGCTATGTTTACATTTGTATCTCTTAATGCGATTACTTAAGTCAGACAGAGACAGCTATATTCCTTATAATCCTAACGGGGCTTTGATCTTGTGTGCCTCTTTAACACAGTGGGCCTTACAGGTATGTATCCTGCACAAATATTTAAGGTTGTATCAAACATAATATGTATATTTTAAATCAAATAAAAATAGATATACTATCACATGGATGAAAAATCTTGTATAAAATACATTATAATATACAAGCAACCAACCGAGCAATTTTAACCTTTGTTCCATTTATGAACGCGTTATTTAAAAACAGCAAAATTATATATAGTGTTCAACTTCATTTTCCGATTGTTCCTATGTCAGCTATATTTTATATGATAATATATAATAAGTTTATATAATATATACTTAACAAAAATTTGAAAACAATATAAATTCTCGGAAAAGTATAGACAAAATGTATTAAAAACGACGAAGTTCTTTCGCACAATAAATTTCACGATATTCTTAAATACAATTATAATGTGATATGGTAAAATTAAATCGAAATTAAAAAATAATTAAAACAAAAAACGAAACTAACTTCGAAGAGCCATCAATGTTTTACGTGACAAATTTTATTTTTTTACAAATTAATGTTTAAAAATCGCATAACTAAACAAAAAAAGCATTAATTTTAATTCTGAAAGCAGCAGTTAGTTTTTATTAGGGTAATAAATATGCATACTCAAAATAAAATGTAAAAAAATTTATTTTTTTAAATTTTTTTCTGGCCATAATAACAACTTAAAAAATGTTGAAAAAATTTTCAAAAATGTATGTACTTTTTTAGTGCCTAGAAAGATTTGCCTGTTGATGCTGATCAAGAATATATATGATTTATAGGGTCGGAAACGATTCCTTCACATTGTTACACGCTTCTGACCAAAGCTATAAGACCATTTTTTAGTCGATATTATTTATATCTTTATATGACAATTTGTTTAACAAATCAAAGTTTAAAAAACTCATAACTAAGCCAAAAATCAATTAATTTTAGTTCGGAAAGCAGCCCTATATTAGTTTTTTCTAGGGTAATAAATCTGCATACTGAAGTGAAAATGTAAAAATATCAACATTTTTTTCTGCCCGACATTGCTAGATCGATCTAGCTTTTGATGCTGATCAAGAATATATATGGTATGTAGGGTCGGAAATGCCTCTTTCACATCATTACAAGCCTCCGACTAAAATTATATCCTGCAAGGGTATAAAAATAATTACAAAGATTCACGTTTAAAGTCAATGGATTTAATGTTTCCTTCACAAAACTCAATAAATTATTAAATGAATATTTAGCCATACTTCAAATAAATACAAATTTTGTTAAATGCCAACGCAATAACTTAAGGAAAACTGTGTCAGTTCGTGACTATTGGGTTTGCCATCGAAAGCGTGATTAGAGAAACGAGGTAAAAAAGTCCAGCCAGCGTCTTGTTTATGAAGTCTCAGAGTTCCAGTTTTACTTTTTCTTGCCCTTTGCCTGGCCACCGGCAGCGGGTGCTCCAGTCAGTGCCGACAGCTCGTTCTTCAGGGCCAAGAGTGTAGCCACTTCGGGTTTCCACACGTCGGCATTGCCGGCAGCCTTCAATGTCCTCACTTTTTCGCCCTGCTGGGCGATTTTGTCTTCCAATGCTTTGACCTGGGCAGCATCCACCGAGGAAGTGGTAGCAGCCACAGTGGAAGGAGCTGCCTTGGCCGCCTTCTGAGCCGCATCCAGTTGCTTCTTGAGGTCGAGTAGGATATTCACCTCCGGCTGCCAAACGGACTTGTCTTTTGTGCTGCCCTTCAGCTTCCGCACTTTGTCGCCCTGCTCTTGAATAGCCTTCTCTAGGTCCTGCACTGACTGGGAGCCATTCGCGGGAGCAAGAGTGGCAACGGGAGCTGCCTTCTTAGCTTCCTCTAGCTGTTTTTTTAGGTCCAGCAGCTTATTCACTTCCGGTTGCCACACCGTCTTGTCCTTCGTGCTGGCCTTCAGCTGACGCACCTTATCCGCCTGATCCTGCACGGCTTTCTCCAGCTCCGCTGCACTGCCTTGACTGTGCACGGCAGCAGTCTGTGCTCCGCCGTACTTGGTCTTGAGCTCGTCGATAAAGGACTGCTCTAGCTTGGCGAATAACGGAGCGGGCTTGCCAATCTTGTGACCGGCGGGAAGCAGCAGAGTGGCAAGAGGTTTGCTGTGGAGGAAACTACAATTAGGACTAAGCTCAAAAGAAAGGTATGAATTCACTTACTCAGCATTGAGCGCCGTTTGCTTGGCATTGAGCTGGCTGAACAGAGTCCTGGCCGTGGCAGGCATGTAGGGGAAGAGGAGATTGGCCAGCAGGCAAGCGATGTTGGCACACAGACCAATGATAGTAGCTGCCCGCTTCTTTTGGTCCTCGCTGCCCTTAAGCAGCACCCATGGCTGCTGGGTCTGCATGTAGCCGTTGCCATGTCGGGAAATGGCCAGCAGATGACGGATGCCATCGCGGAGCTTCGCCTTCTCCAGGGAGTTAATATAACCACGCAGCTCGCGGTTGATCAAGGCCAGCAGGATCAGTTCATCCTGGGTGGCCACCACTTCTGGAACCGTGCTATTGAAGTTCTTTTCGCAGAAGACCAGGGCGCGGTTCACAAAGTTTCCGAGGTTATTTAGCAGCTCCGAGTTGTTGCGCGCCGCCAGATCGTTCCAACTGAAGCTGGAATCCTGACCCTCTGGACGGGCCGACGCCAAGTAGAAGCGCCAAACGTCCGCGGGAATGCCCGTCTCCTGGGCATCGTTGCCAAAAACGCCGATGCCGCGACTCTTGCTGAACTTGCCATCCTCATAATTCAGATACTCGGTGGCCATGATGTGCGAGACGAGCGTGTGTCCCTTGTTGATAGCCAGCAGGACACTGGGCCACACCACCGAGTGGAAGGGCACGTTGTCCTTGGCCATGAACTGGAATAGCTCCACATCGGTGCCTTTAGCGGGCTGCCACCACTGCTGGTACTCCTTGGTGTAGCGCTTGGTCATCGAGACATAGCCGAAGGGAGCGTCGAACCACACATAGAAGACCTTCTTTTCGAAGCCAGCGTGCGGCACAGGGATTCCCCACTTCAGGTCGCGGGTAATGCAGCGGGGCTTCAGGCCCTCCTTTAGCCAGGCTCGCGTGATCACCTTGGCATTGTGTGTCCAGCCGCCCTCGGATTTGTCCACCCATTCCTTGAGATTTGGCTCTGCCTTCGGCAGATCGATGAATAACTGATCGGAGGAACGGAGGACGGGCGCACTGTTGCACACCTTACAACGGGGACGGATCAGCTCGGTGGCATTCACTAGCTTGCCGCACTTGTCGCACTGGTCGCCGCGGGCATCCTCGTAGCCGCAGCCAGGATGCGGGCAAGTGCCCTCCACAAAGCTGAGGAGGATAAAATGATTAGACATAGTAAATCTTGGAAAGACGAAGTGACCTACCGATCAGCCAGGAAGCGATCGCACTTTTGGCAGAGCAGCTGCTCCACGCTCTCTGTGATGATGTAGCCGGCCTTGAGGACATCCTGGAAAGCCTCCTGCACAATGCTGTACAATAAAAAGCTTACTCACATGAAATGTTCTCTTTAAAAGCGCTAGAAACTCACTCTGTTTGCTCCTGTGTCGTAGTTCGTCCAAAGTAATCAAAGCCAATGCCGAACCAGCGGTAGATGGCATTGTGCAGCTCAAAGTACTTGTCGCAGATTTCACGCGGCGTCAGATTCTCGGCCAAAGCCTTGTTCTCCGTGGCCGTGCCGTACTCATCGGTGCCGCAAATCAGGAGAGTATTATAGCCAGCGGAACGGGAGTAGCGCGCAAAGATATCCGCGGACAGAACACAACCAATGATGTTACCCAGATGGGGCACATTGTTGACGTACGGCAGAGCAGATGTGATGAGCACGTTACGCTGGCCAGCCTTGGGTAGCACTGTGCGCTCCTCCTTAATATCCTTGGGAGCTGTGTAGGTGAAGGCAGCCTGTGCTGCTCTGATCTCGTCATCAGTCACTGTGTCCGCCACCGTGGGCGTAGTATCCACAAGGAGTTTGCCCGCATCTGCCACGCTAAGACGTTTGAGAGGAATATGGTACAAGCCGCCGTAGCGATTGGACTGCTGCAACGCATTGAAGCTAAGGTCTTTCAGCGGCTGCTCGGCCAGCACCTCCTGCACCTCGGGAAGAACTTTTATACGTCCATACCAATCTCTTAGACGATCCACGTTCTGGGCTCCTTTTAGGGTGCCTTCAGGTGCCAAGAGGGACCACACGGCAATGTCGGCGGCGGTTAGTTTGTCGCCAGCCAGGAAGGGCGAGGTCTTGAGGCTGTCGTCCAGTTTCTTTACCAAAGCGTTAAGCACGGGCAGCGCATTAGCGTCGGCCTTATGGCCCACGGCCATGTGATGGGCCAGAGCCGGAGCCAGCAACGTGGCAGACCACTCCAGCCACTGCGGGTAAACAAAACCTTAATAAGTTTAACCTTCAGGGGTCACCGCGCAGCCAAAACATTTTTTGGGAGCACTTACCTCATCCCGCAGCTGTCCCTCGTCCACTAGCAGATATTTGGCAATGGCCGCCGGCGAAAACAGGGACAGACCGTTGTCCAGCTGCAGAGTGGGCAGCACCAAGAGATCCTTGTAGTTGGGATCTGTAAGTGCAACCAGTTATTGCGTCAGAAATGAGTCACTAAGCCGGGAAGCTTTGTGGGATTCCAATTGGCTTCCCCAGAAAGATCCACGAACTCACCATTTAGGTTAACCAGCTGCACCTGCACCTCCCGCTTGGCGTGCTTGACCAGCATCAGTAGCTGCAGTCCCAGCGGATTGCCCTCGTTCGTATAGATGATCATCTTGCCGGGATCTGGCGCTACTCCTAATTCAATTTACGTGGCAGAGAAGGGTTACAAAAAATTCCAAAAAGTACTGCCCCGCATGCACGAGAAACTATTATTATTTAGTGGTGGGAGTTTTCGGGCAAGTGTCATCGACTTATCGAAAAGCACGCCTGTTTGGGAAGCATTAATATAGTTTTTATATATTATTTTGTTTATATATATATATATTAATATTAATTTTTGTTAGCCTAAGAAGTTTTAGTAAAATATTTTCTAACTTTAATATTTTTCAAAGTTTTTTTTATAAATACATTTATAATAACGTGACTCACTTCAGCAAGCTGTATTCTTCTTAACAAGGACTCAATATAAAGATTTGTCTGAAAATTTTTAATAAGATCCTCTTAATATCACATGAATTAGAAAAATAATTATTTGAATATATAAAGAAATAAAACAAGTTGATTTTGTTTCCAATTTATGGATTCGTTATTTAATTATTCATCGTTTAAAAATATCGAGTAGTGGGAACGCACCCTGTTATCGGTTTATTATCCAGACACTGTTTGGTGCCATCACTAGCGCTCGTTGGACAGCTGTTCAGCCGCAAAAATTGTTATTTACATTTATCAATCTCTCCTGATTTCCCATAACTGCGAAATTGAAAACTTGCCAAGATGGGTGAACGCAAGGGCCAAAACAAGTACTATCCGCCGGACTATGACCCAAAGAAGGGCGGCCTTAACAAGTTCCAGGGCACACATGCGCTGCGGGAACGCGCTCGGAAGATCCACCTCGGGATCATCATCATCCGCTTCGAGATGCCTTACAACATCTGGTGCGAGGGCTGCAAGAACCACATCGGCATGGGAGTGCGATACAATGCCGAGAAGACCAAGGTGGGTATGTACTACACGACCCCGATCTTCAAGTTCCGGATGAAGTGCCATCTGTGCGACAATCACTTTGAGATCCAAACGGATCCCGGCAATCTGGACTATGTGATCTTGTCCGGGGCCCGGCGACAGGAGAACCGCTGGGATCCGCTGCAGAACGAACAGGTGGTGCCGGAAACCAAGGAAGTTCAGAAGCGCCTATTCGACGATGCCATGTACAAGCTGGAACACCAGGCCAAGGATGCCAAGGCGGCGGCAGATGCCAAGCCGGTGCTGCAGAAGCTCGTGGAGCGCAACATGAGTGTCTGGGACGATAGTTATGTGGCTAATTGCCGTCTCCGTGCCGAATTCCGCCAGCAGAAACTGGAGATTAAAGGGCAGCAGGATCTGGATCGTCAGCTGCTGGCCAAGAGCAGTCTGGACATTGCCTTGCTACCCGAGACGAGCGAGGATCGTGAGATGGCCGCCCTGATGAAGCTGCAAACCAAGTCGGCCCTGGAAAGGGAATCCGAGCAGCGGCTGGAGCTGCTTATGCGTCCCGCATTGCCGGGAGCAACCCAGACTACTTTTGGGGGCTTAAAGCGGCAGAAGGCTCTGAATAATCACCTCCAGCTGCAGGATTTGGGCATTAGGCGAAGGAAAGTAGAGGAAACGGAAGCCAGTACCTCAAGTGGGAAACTCCAGAGTCTGGTGGGGGACTATTCCTCCTCGGATAATGAGTCTAATAGTTGAATTTTAATTCTGATTTGCTTTGAAGTTTCAAATATTTATAGATTGTGAAGATGTGAGGTCGGTATGGGGGTTGTATTGAATTTAAGGAGCGTAGATCTTGAAACATTTAATAATGTACTTTAATTTAAGATTGGATTTCTGCCTAACAAATTAAAATAGTTATTTACGAATGAAAATATGTCCTAATACATTCCCTCATTGGGATCCGCAGCATCTGACGGGGTTTCATCCTCTCCGCCGGCCTGGCCGTCCATTGGAGCGACGATCACCGCCTGGATGCGTTCACAGAGATCCACCATTTGATTTTTGCTAATCATATCCATCATCAGATTCTCCATCATGAGTAGCTTTCGGTAGGACAAATCGCGATTTTCAATGGCACTTTCTATCTTGAGACTTAAGGTCTGAGTTTCGCCAATCAGTTCCTTGAGGATGTCATCGTCCCCGTCGTGAACTTGCTCCGACTGCGGCTGTTTGGTGGGGGCTTCCTCCTCCTTGGCAAAAACCCGCGGTTTGATGGGTTTTATCACCGGGGTATTGGCCAAGGACATTTTGTTCTCCAAGCTGGGTGCCTGCGAGTCAAAGAACTTCTTGAACCACTGCAGGAACTCGAAGTTATCTTGGAATCTGCCCTTAATCAGGCGATCGATGGGCACTGTCTTGTCTAACTTTAAGCGATTGAAGGCGCTCTGGAATAGCTTCAAGTTGTGCAAGTACTCGTGCTCCAGCTTGGCGCTCATCTTTACACGCTTCATGTTGATGCAGTTGGGGAAGATCATCTCCATCATCTGGCAGTAGGCGGCACCTAGTGGAAAATCGAGGGTTATGACAGGAAAGTCTAATTCTGAGGTGTTTTTCCTCACCAGAGCAGAGCTCCTCGATCTTCTTGAAGTGGCCCTGGACCATGGTGTTGACCCACTGCAGCATGTCGTGGCGGGACATATTCTCCCCGTTGACGCTGGTCAGAGCCACAGTTAACTTCAGATCACTCATTATTTAGCTTATTTTGTTCGTTTGCAAAAAATGTCTTCCCTTTACGGTTATTCCTTCACAAGAGTTTTCTTTTAATATTCGTTGTTGCTGAACTTTAGTATAAACTGAATATATATGCAATAAATAACGTTGTGAGCTTCCAGGCCAGCTGATTTTCACTCGAGATAGAGTTTTATAAATAAAGTTAATTGGTTTTATTGATCTATAAATTCGTTTCTAGTCGCGAAAGTTTTGCATTTTGCACAGAACGCCGATTACCGATTACAATGCTTCCAGGACCAGAGATGGCAACTTCTTCACCCACAAATATATCGTTTTAAGTTATCGACATCATATAAAAGCCGCGAATTTTGAAAAGGATCGACAGATCCAAAACTTTTAAATCGCTTTCGCTGAAAATCATTCGTGTTTTTCTAGAGGTATAGATCAGTGAGAGATATATTATCATAAAGATAAGTTGACTCGGATCGAATGGAATAACTTGAATTTGATAACATACATTTTATTTTGTTTTACGTTTGATCTATAGAGTCTTAATCCTAAACTTGCGCTCCACCGTCTTCACAAAGTCGATGAAGTCCTTGTACAGGACCTTGGGAACCTCCAAGGCGGCAAAGTGTCCGCCCTCCTTGTGATATGTGCTGTGCACAAGGTTCTTGAACTTATCCTGCAGCTGGAAGTCCAGAGTCTGCAATATGTCGCTCTTGAAGCGGGCACAACCCGTGGGCACAGAGGTGGGCACCCGTTCTAGTTGTAGATCACGCTGCTCCTGGGCGTACTGCTCCGCATACAGACGCTGCGAGGTGGTGATCGAATTGGTCAGGTAGTAGATCATCAGGTTGTCCAGCAGGGCGTCCATCTTGTAGCGCTTGGTGAGGCCTCCATCCTTTAGGGAACGGTAACTGGGATTTGTCCACGTGGAGAACTTCTCCAGGATGTAGGCAGCCAGGCCCACGGGATTGTCGGTGAGGGCGGCTCCAATGGTGTCCGGTTTGGTGGCCTGGATGTGGAAATAGCCACTCTCCTCCATAAGGTACTTGAGTTCGTTGGATTTCGGGAAGAAGAAGTCCTCAAAGCCAGAGGGAGCGAACAAGCTGGGCCAGAAGCCGGCCACGATGCCCTTCACAAGGGACTTTGGACTCATGCTGCTGCACATATTCGAGTGGTAACCGAGGACATTCTCCGGATAAAGGGTGGCGATATTGCTGCCAATGATGCTACCCCAATCTCCACCCTGGATGAAGAACTTATCGTAGCCCAGGCGCAGCATGAGGTTCCTCATCATCACGGCCACCTGAGCGGGACCCAGACCCTTACGTGAGGTGCCCTGCAAGATCAGAGGAGCATTAATCCGAGCGCTACTTACAATATCATCACTTAACTCACCTCCGACCATCCATATCCAGGCAGACTAGGCACTACCACGTTGAAGATGTACTTGTTGTTCTTGTCCAGGTTGGACTGGTGCAGAAGATGGATCAAGTCGTAAAACTCCCGCACCGATCCCGGCCAGCCGTGGAGCAGCAGCACCGGGTAGTGTTGCTTTCCCACCTTGTTCTCATCGTAGACCATCAGGTGGAAGAAGTGCATGCGTAGCCTGAAATCCGGGCCAAGCCCATCTACCTTTACTATCTTCGGATATGATAAGTGCTTCTTATCTCACCCCTGAATGTCGGTGGTGAAGTGGTTGAACTGCCACAGGAACACCTCGCGTTCACGCCAACGCGGCAGGTAGTCATCGCGCCAGTACTCCACGACTTCTTTGAGGTAATCCGTGTTGAAGCCGTACTCAAAGGCCACTCCCTCGAGGGGCGGAGTGAGGCGCAGGGTGCGGTTGAGTCGATCCTTGAGGTCTTGGATGGTCTGGAGGAGTACGAGAGAGTTATCCACCGATCTACTCACTCATGTGTCACTCACCTTCTCGGGATAGCTGAGCTTGTTGCTTATGATCTCCGAGGAGTTGACCAGATAGGCGGCATAGTCCTTCGGTTCCGCATCATCGCCCCACCACTGCTGGGAATCCAGCTCCGGTTTGGGCAGATCGCCCCACAGTTGGCTCACATTCTTGTAGACCAATCCTCCGCCAATGGCCAGAACGAGGACCAGAATTTTGAACGTCACGCCCGACATCTTGTGCTTTCAGCGGTTCCACTCACACTGACCGTGCAGCTCCAGTTCCAATTTCCACCTATCATCGCCAGCACAGCTCTCGATTCCGCCGCTCACCATGATAAGCGACTTTGAGTGACCGCCCGCCGCCCTACACTCAATCAGTTAAGGCTTATCACTGGGCTTACTTTGGACTCCACTGAGACGTAGTAGAGGCTTGTAAAATCGGGGAAGCTGCAGCTCAAACTGTTTGTTTATTTACCTAAAAAAAGCTTATGAAGCTTTCGTTGGGGCTAATATCTTTGGGGCTCTGAGAGACTGAGAGAGAGAGAGAGAGAATCGGCTGGGAGACATTGATATATTTTGCGACGCAGCTGGGGCTGGGCACTTAGGTAGAAATACCTCGGTTTTGGTAACAAAAAGGGGTAACTTTAAATTGAGGAAAACAAAAAAAAATAATCCAAAAATTATAAATATATATTAGTTATTTTTGCGTTATTAAAATATATAAAAATACAAAAGAATCATATAGGGATTTTCTCCAATTTAAATATATATCCAGAATAATTGGTATGCATACAACACTCATTAACCCATCACTCAAAGGTTACATAAGACTCTCCAGACCTCAGATTTATCTATATCTCTATATGTACGTATATATATAAAATAAATAAATAGGAGGGGTAGGTTCTCCCCGCCTCTTAACATGTCTTCGACCCGAGTCCAAACGAAAAACTTTTCAACTTTCAGTTTTCAAAGAAGATAAGGAACGCTTTATCACCAAGCCGATTTTTACCTTGATTTTCACAACTCATATGGAAAATTTACAATGATTTCTTAAGACTAACCACAATATCGAAATCCCTTTTAGGAGAGGTTGGCCTTCTTAACGAAGGCAACAAAGTCCTCGTACAGTTGCTGGGGCAACTCAAAGGCCGGGAAGTGTCCGCCGTCGGGGTGGTGGGTGCTGTGCACCAGATTGGGGAACTTGTTGGCCAGCACAGCGTCCGGAGCATGCGTAATCTCATGGGCGAAGCGAGTGCAGCCCGACTTGGCCAGGATGGGCAACCTGTCCACCTCCAGGCCGAGCTGAGCCTTGTTCATGGACTCCGCGTACAGGCGCATCGAGGTGGTGATCGAGTTGGTCACGTAGTAGATCATCACATTGTCCAGCAGCTGGTCGTAGGTGAACCTCTTGGTCAGCCCGCCGTCGGGGAGATCCCTGAACTTAAGGTTTGTCCACGTGGAGAACTTCTCCAGGATGTAGGCCGCCAGTCCCGCGGGATTGTCGATCAAGGCATTGCCAATGGTGTCGGGCTTGGAGGCCTGGATATGGGCGTAGCCCATCTCCTCCGTAATGGTGGCCCACAGGTGACCGAATCCCTTGTAGTAATCCACATACTGGCTATCGATGAACCAGCCGGGGAAGAAGGAAGACAGTGCCAGCTTCAGGGTGCCCATGGGGCTGTTGTTGCCGCACATGTTCGAGTGATAACCCAGCACATTCTCCGGAAAAAGACTGGCCAGGTTCGAGCCAATCAGAGAGCCCCAGTCGCCGCCTTGCACCAGGAATTTCTGGAATCCCAGGCGGAGCATCAGGTTGCGCATCACCACGGACACTTGGGCCACGCCGAAGCCAGTTTTTGATGAGCCCTGGAAATGCAAGAGAGCCGGGACTTGGTTCAAAGTTGGCAGATACATTTCGTATCTGAATGGGGTTAACTTGCTTGTTGGCTAATAGCTTTAAAATTTGCCATGCCAATGAAACCTTTAAAGTTATTGGCAAAGCTAAATATTAAAATAAGAGGGGAACTCTCCAAGCGTAAAACAACGTCATAACTAAAAGCTATTAATCACCCAAAATATTAATCTTTTGATTTAACTAAGAGATGAAACATTTTGTAGGGAAAGTCTGCATAATAAAGCAATCAAAACATTAACTCTTTTATGTAATAGATAATTACCTGAGACCAGCCATAACCCGGCAGACTGGGTGCAATCACCTCGAAGACATAATCACTCTTATCGTTGGGCGTAGTGAGCAGGGGTATAAAATCGTAGAATTCCCGGACAGTTCCCGGCCAGCCGTGCATAAGGAGCAGGGGCAGCACCTTCTTGCCCTTCAGCTCTTTGGGTTTGGCGTGGATAAAGTGAATTTTTAAGCTACAAAGGAGGGAAATAAACGCAAAGGGGTTAATACCTGGGGTTATTATGCGCATCTAATTGTGCGACGCCGGAAGCTTTAGTTTATATCATTACCCTTGGATTTCGGTCTGGTAGTGATCCAGCTGCTTGAGGAACTGCTCCCGCTCGCTCCACTTGGCCAAGTAAGTGTCTCGCCAGTATTTCACCACCTTGGCCAGTTCCCGGGAATTGAAGCCATACTGGAAGCCCACACCCTCCAGGGGTTCTTGGGCCTTGGAGGGTCGACTCAGCTGGGCCTTGAGGTCTTCAATTATCTGCGGGAGAAGTAATTATATATAATTATATATACATATATATGAATCTCAGCTCACCTCTGGCTTAACACTGATGTCATAGGGCAGAATGGCCTTGTTCTCCTTGTAGGGCTCCTTGGTCTTGGGCCCCCAGTAGGCATTGTTGTCCAGATCGGGCCTCTTGCCCGGCGCCGAAAGATCCTTGTAGTTTTTATACCCTATGGCAGCCAGCATGGCCAGGCCACCGATGAATATCCGCACCCAGACATTCGCCATTATATACTTCTAAATGGTATATGTATATATATATAAAGTGGTATGGGAAACCTCCTCCTCTGAAGCAGCTGCTGTTCCTGTGCGATCGCCAAACACAATTGATTTTATTTTGTCAGAAAACCGGCAAACGAAAGCTTTTTGCCCGCTTGTGGAACGTATGCGGAAGGTAAGCTCGGTGGCACTGCAATGCGAGCATGATAAAGCGAGAAATTTGAGTATTTATGAGGAGCTTTCGGCGAACGAAACTTTTAAAAATTAAATAATATTAACGATGATGATCATGATCAGCATATTCATTTATCAGCTGGCAGAAACTAAATTGAGTGGCGGCAACTCACGCTTAGACTGTGAATAGATACATATTCCGCACTTGAAAATAAAAACAATGAGCGAGAATTGAAGGTGGGATGATATAATATATTGGTGATTATGAATTTAAATTGTCTCACGTAATAATAAATAATTATTCTCCGTGCCTTCTCCGATATTTTTATACCCCTGCAGGGTATTATAATTTTAGTTAGGAGCTTGTAACTCGGTGAAGGAGCCATTTCCGACCCTATAAATCATATATATTCTTGATCAGCATCAACAGGGGAATCTTTCTAAGCATTAAAAAAGTACATAAATTTTTGAAAATTTTTTCATCATTTTTTAACGGTTTGTTATTGCCAGAAAAAAATGAAAATAATTTATTTTTTAACAATTTTTTTTTGAGTATGCAGATTTATTACCCGAATAAAAACTAGCATAAGACTGCTTTCCGAATTAAAATTAATTCATTTTTGGCTTAGTTATGAGTTTTTTAAACTTTGATTTGTTCAACAAATTGTCGTATAAAAATATAAATAATATCGACTAAAATATGGTATTGCACCTTCAGTCAGAAGCTTAAAAGAAAGGGAAGGAGTCGTTTCCGACCCTATAAATCATATATATTCTTGATCAGCATCAACAGGGGAATCTTTTTAGGCATTAAAAAAGTACATCAATTTTTGAAAATTTTTTCATCATTTTTTAAGGTGTTATTATTGCCAGAAAAAAATTTGAAAAAATTGAATTTTTTTACATTTGATTTTGAGTATGTAGATCTATTACCCTAATAAAAACTAACATAGGACTGCTTTCCGAACTAAAATTAATGCTGATTTGGGAAAGTTATGAGTTTTTTAAGCATTAACTTTTAAAACAAATTTGTCATTTAAAAATATAGATAAAATAAATAAACTTTGACTTTCAATTTTCTGGCTAGTTTTGTAAGCACCTTACTTCTACATTAAACAATTAAGAAGAATGCCTTTATATTTTATTAATCATTATAATTTATTTCTAAACAAAAATAAGGGAAATTCGTGGTTTATTTCTTCAAATATTGTTCGAGTATTTTTATGACTAAATTGGCACTAAATTAACCACAAATTAAGCCAATTTCGGGCTACCCTCCTTTGTTGTATGTTTATTATTATTATACCGATAAAAATATTATTTTGCCATAAAAGTACCTTCATTTCTTTGGACAAAAATAAACAAAAGCAAGCGATAGCTGCAAATACTTTACTGATAGCCAGAACGAACAGCTTGTCCCATGAACCCACCCCAAGTACAAAGATGGCAATTTATTACTAGTAAGTACAAAAAAATATAAACAATTTATTTCGGCTGCTCGCCGTGCAGACCCACCTTGCCCACGAAGGCGGTGAAGTCGTTGTAGAGCATCGCCGGCATCTCCAGGGCGGCAAAGTGGCTGCCCTGCTGGAAGTACATGGAGTGCTTCAGGTTGGGGAACTTGTCCCTCAGCTGCCAGTCCGTCACCGAGGGCAGATCGTAGCGGAAGCGGGCACAGCCCATGGGAACCGGGGACTGCACCCGGTCCAGCTGCAGATCCCTGTACGCCTTGGACACGTTCTCCAGATAGAAACGCGCCGCCGTGGTGGCCGAGTTGGTCAGGTAGTAAACCATCAGGTTGTCCAGCACCGCCTCCAGACCAAAGACCGTGACAATGGCACCAAAGTCCTGCTGCAGGCCAGGATTAGTGCAGGTCTGGAACTTCTCCAGGATGTACGAGGCCAAGCCCACCGGGCTGGAGGTCAAGGCAGCTCCAATGGTATCCGGCTTGGTGGCCTGAATGTGGAAGTAGCCACTCTCCTTAAGCAGCTCCAGCCACTTGTCCCAAATGGGGAAGTGGTGATCCACGAAGAACCTGGAGGGCAGGTACTTCTCCGGATAGAAACTGCCATAGATGCCCTTGAGGATGGCCAGGGGGAGTGCAGGACGCACATGTTGGAGTGGTAACCAATCACATTCTCCGGGTAAAGAGTGGCCAGGTTGCTGCCAATGATGCTGCCCCAGTCGCCACCCTGGACGAAGAACTTCTTGTGGCCCAGACGCAGCATAAGGTTCCGCATCACGGTTGCCATCTCGGCGGCATTGAAGCCGGGACGAGTGGCAGCCTGAAGAGGGATTAGGGGTTATAATAATTAAGTAACTATAGGTGAAGCTTGTACTCACATCAGACCAACCATAGCCCACCAGGGAGGGTGCCACCACCTCAAAAGCGTAGTCCGTAATGTTGGTTTCCTTGGTAAGCATGGGTATAAAGTCGAAGAATTCCCTCACCGATCCCGGCCAGCCATGGAGCAGCAGCAGGGGATACACATGCTTCTTCTCCTGGGCCTCTGGCGTGGCCTTCTCGTGGATAAAGTGAATATTCAGACTGGCAGGAAAATCACGGTTTTACTTTGAATATCCTAAAGAAATATGGTCTCATCCAAAACTCACCCCTGAATCTCGGTGGTGTACTGCTTGAAGGAGTTGAACAGCGCCTGGCGCTCATCCCACTTGGTCAGGTACTTGTCCCGCCAGTAGTGCACGAACTGCTCCAGGGCATAGGTATTGAAGCCATACTCAAAGGAAATCCCGTCCAGCGGTTCCGTGAGCTTCAGAGTCCGATTCAGCTGCTGGCTCAGATCATCGATCTCCTCCTGCGGCACGTTCAACTTGAACTCATACAGCTTGGTGTCCGGCTTATAGTCCTTGACATCGCCCGGCCCCCAATAGGTGTCATCCTTGAACTCCGGCTTGGGCAGCGGCTTGGTCAGATCCGTGAACACCAGGTAACCGTAGCCGGCAAAGGCCCCGAACAGGGCCACAATCACCGCGAACACTATCAGGCACTTCATGGCTCGAATGTCTCGAATTTAAATGAGCAAATTCCGCGCAAGATAATGCCTCTCGTCTCGATTCGGAATCAAATTATTAGAGAACCGCACGACCACTCAGCCAGAAAGCCGATTATGAACTGACTGTCCGCCGGAGAATAAGTCTCGGTTCAACTGACGCGGAAACATTAAGATAGTATTCGTTCGTATAGTATTTATAAATTCGTTTAGATAACACCTGTTGTGGCTATCGGAAACAGTGGGTCCACTCATGCGGCACTTTGGTCTATGAACCCAAATTCAGCAGTGTAATGGTGGAATATACTAGGGATAGAATATATGGATATTTGGATTTCATAGTCGAATAACCATATTTTTTTAGACATTTCTCGTTTTGTAAAAATGAAGTACACAATCATTTTAAATATTTGTTTCCCTTTTCGATTCCCATAAATATATTTTTATTATCAAGTGACTCAAGACCAAGGTGTCTGTAGTCTATTTTCCTAACTTGCCCACGTTTGCACCTTCTTCGGTTGGAGATACGTTGACCCACACACCCAAAAGTACCCCAGACACAAGTGCACCAAGTTTCCGGAGACTCATACGTGAGGTGGGAATAGCCGCAGCTACTTAAAAGCTACAATTATCTTATCAGCGCTCTCGGGCAACTTATTTATTGATTAGCAATAGATCGTAAATCTCAGACATTCTGCCACTGATGATGTGGCCCAAACAAACAAAATACGAAAAAATGAATGAAAGGCGAGTAAATGCACGTGGAATGTTTGGAAGTTTTTATTTATAGGTTTCCGTAATAGATGGAAATTATATGAAACGTAATAGAAATTTACTAGTCTACAAGAATATTTATTGAAGATGGAATAACGCAAATTTTATTGATTTTTATATACTCATTCAGTTTGTAGTTAAATTTGGGGATCGTATCGGAAATGGAACATAACTAAGACTAAAATAATCGCATTCTTTTAATCGATATCTATCAATATTTTTATTTATTTATTTCTAAAAGTCAAAACTTTAAATACTCATAAATACTTCATATTCAAAATAGTTGAATCTTCGTAGGTTATTCCATACATCTGATCAGCTAGCTGGCATACATGGCGTATACTTAATGTGAAAACCTTTAAATTACGTATACGCAGAGTGTGTCTTAAGGAAAAAATTGATTACAAAAAAACAAAGACTAAAAAGCGCGTAAATAAGCAAAGAATCAATAAATTTTAGTTCGGAAAGCTGTCCTGTATTAGTTTTTGTTTGATTAATAAATCTGCATACTCAATTTAAAAATGTAGTAAAATTAAAAATTTTGTAAATTTTTGACAATTTTAACGATATAACCCCTTATAAAAAAGAGCAATTAAAAAAAAAAAAAATTATTTGTTGCCAAACATGGCTAGATCGAATCGGCTGTTCGTGCTGATCAAGAATATATATTATTTATAGGATCGGAAACGACTCCTTCACTTTTTTTAAGCATTTGACTTAAATAATAATAGCCTGCAAAACTGGCAAAAGTTGGAGCCAAAGTCAGTTTCTGTTTCGAAAGTAAGAGTAAGAAATCAGTATGCCTGAATAATTTATAATAAAGATAGGCTGATAACTGTAAATATTCGTTTCTAGATAATCCTAGTACAAATTGCTGTGTCACTTTAAATTAAAATTAAGTAATAGGGATTATGACAACAAGGCAATTACCTGGTAAATAATAGCACAGCTAGAATATCCATGGTTATTCAGATATATTGTGCTGGTATCACTATCACTTCCACTATCACTAACGATGTTAACAGGTCGGAGGCCGCGGACAGAATGAGGCCAGAGCTGCTGCTGGGCCTGTATTTATACTCTCCAAGTAAAGAGAACAGAGAAAGTGAAAGCGAGAGAGAGAGAGAGAGCAAGCAGTATCTCTATGGACAGGCATGCCTCTTAAGATGCAGAGAGAGAGAGAGGGAGAGCGATACAGGCAGAGCAAGCAAGCGCAATATGATAATACGAATAGCTTTATCGTTCCTATGGCAGCTATATGTTATAGATTTTCGATCCGCGTTATTCCTACTTACATATATACTAGTGAGAGTATATAGTATCGTATCGTTCAGATACTACTAGTTCGCGTAAAAACGGACGGCCAAACCGATTACGATGCTGATCAAGAATATATATACTTTATATGACCGGAAATGACTCCTTCACTGCCTTGCAAACTTCTGACTAAAATTGTAATTTACATTGTACATTTAATTGGCATTTACATAGTTTTTTAAGGTTTTCATTGTTTTAAAGTTACTAAAAGCCTCAAAAACCGCCCTTAGGATATTTTTCCTGCTAATAATTAGGCTGTCAACATGCAACGAATCAAGGATCCATCCAAAGAGCAAAGGACTACGGACAAATATCCTGCACAAAAGTGCCGCCAAACATGCAAGACACAGAAAAACAAAAGGAGGCGTAAACAATTTGATGTGAATGGTAATTCGAGTGAAATTAACGCAATTACCTAGCCGCAGCCAAAGGACTCGAGTTCACTTCCGTTGCAATGCAGCTAAAAAAAAATAAGAAGAAAAACTGGGAAAAGGGGAAATAAATAGAAATGAAATCCAGAAAAGTTTGATCGCGTGCCGCAAACAAATCGCATTGATACTTGGAAGCGTGTCAAAGCTGCCACCTTCCGGGGGCAATAGAGAGGTTCTCCAGAATTCCCCCGGGTTCTAGGGTCTACGGTTCCTCTTCCCGATACCTTCCCTGGAGGTTACTCCAATCGTTGGCCATTAATGTCGGCTCCCATTTTATTGAGTGCTCCAGTTACGGGCCAAAAGTTTGGGACTCCAGGTAGCCATTGGCAACTCCCTCGGGGAAAGACCCCCTTCTGGGTAAAAGGTCCTTTTGCGGTGGGCGTGGTCCGTATACTTAATGGTCGCAATTAGTTTTTCATCGAGCAAAAGCGACACGCACTTGTCGTAAAGTCCGTTGAACCTGTGGCTAAATTGATTTTCGTTCAGGGCAGGCCACACGTTCATTGATACAGTTGTTAAATTTCTTTCCCAAATATATCATATATTTATAAATGGAAGAAAACTATGCCGAATGAAGAGAACAAACGCTGGTGTGTCATTGTCAGCTTGGCCACGTGGAATATTTTGGCAGGATTTGGGTTCTATGCCTATATCTTGGATTGTTATGGTGGGTTATTAATAAACAAATGAATCATTTATATTGATATTTTGACAAGTAAATTAGGGCTTACTTGGCACATGAAATAGTAAAATATTAAATGAAGAAATTAAAGTATTTTGCAATTAATAAATACATTTTTACCGCAGTAAATTATCCTCCAGGTCACGAAAAGAGGAAGTTCATGTATCACACATTTCATGGAACTATTAATCAGGATGTATTGATAGGAATTTCTGTGGTGATGGTTTGCCAAATAATATCCTCGGTTATTCTGTGTTTGGCACTAAAAGAGGTGAGTTTATATTTTAAATAAGATAATTACATATATTGAGATTAAAAAATACTGATTTTATATATTTTCATCATGGTTTTAAAGTACAGATCCACATTTTTACTTTTTGGAATTTTCTTCAGCATGCCTTTTCCTGTCGCCTGTCTTCCAGTTTGGCCTCTGGCTAGTATGTATTTAATAAAAACTATATAATTACCATAATCATAAATTTTTAACTGTTCTCCTTCCACAGTTGCACACGTATCTCTTGCTTTATGGACCCTAAATTATAAATAGGAATTAATAAAATAAAATATAAAAGAGTATAATTACATATTAAAGTATGTTTAGTAGAACACATTTTCTTGAATTTCATAAAGACAAAAGAACAAAGTTAGAGGCGGACTTTTACTTTTAAATAAACGTTTGAAAGCCTAAGAGTTGGCTGCGGAAAATATATTTCTTGGTTTGTTTTTAATATACAATTTCAATGTTTAAAATTGTTGTATCTTAAGGCTTATGACTAAGTGCCATAACGGGGTATATAATACTACTATACATCAGATATTTATTAAGTTTTAGTTATTTTCTTATACCCCATAAGTTCTTAATAGATATTTCTATCAAAAATTCTCGTCTGCCTAAAAGTCTGCAAAAAATTTAATAAAATCCAAAAACTGATAAGCTATTTTGGTGTAAAAAAATATTTATTTATTTTTATAAATTTGTATATAGAAAATGTAAAGACAGCCAAGTGCTTAATTTAATTATAAAGAAGTCCTTCAAAGTCCCAGTTTCCCTGGGCAATATCTCCAACTGGAATTTCCTGCTTTTCCGGCGGACCTTCCCTCTGGCCAATTTCCAGCTCCCGATCATAGCCAGATTGGCAGGTGACGTGTCCCAGCTGTGAATTAAATAACAATTGCAGATTCTCATTACTTTTTGTAATGAACTTTTAATATTTTTCACTCACCCAGCAACAGAGCAAGAGAAATGCCAATATTTTCATAAATATTGATTGTTTCAACATTTTTCCTTACTGCCTGCGAGCTCGACTGCCGAAGGGAAACTGTGTCTGCTTTTCCCCATTTGTTTACTTTTACGTTTGCCCGCCGCTCTCTCTCTCTCTCTCTCTCTCTCAATCAATTAATGCGTATTAAATATTTATATTTGTATTTATGTTTGTTTACATCCATGGCGCTTTATCTGCCGCCGCTGCTACAGTTTTATATTAACTCGAGTGACAACGAAAAGGTCGATGTTTCACAAGCTACATACTTGCGAAGGGAATTTAAAATTGATTTTTACAATTAATGGGAGTAAAGATTTTACATTTCTTATTTAGGGAGCATCTCTGTATTTAATATATTATTTAATGAGTTAAGATTTCTCTTTTTATAATTAAGTTTTAGAAATATTACTCATACACATATTTTCTTCTGCTGCTAATATTTTATTACGGTACCACATAGGTGTGAATATTTTTTGTATATATTTTTTCAGGGATTTCTAGTGATAACAATACTCTAGACAATTATATATATTCTTCTTCTACATGTCACCTCGAAACCTAGTCTATACTATAGGTTTGTGCTGTCTATTTCATATATTTATTAGCTATAATAAAGATGCTCCATAAATATGAGACAAGATCCCCTTGTGGGAATCCCTCTCTGCTGATAAGCCTGCTTCGGGGATTCCTTTCGCCACCGTTCAACCTATAAAGGAGCTCTTCGGCTCAAGAAAAATTATCAGTCAGCTTTTACCAGTCCTCACAAACAGAAGATTAATCAAGATGCAGTCCACCACTATCTTCGTCCTGCTGTCCTGCATTATTGGAGCAACTCTGTCCAGTCCGATGCCAAAGGAGGACATGACCATGCCATCCACACCACCACCGCAGTATCCTTTGAATCTCCAGGGAGGAGGCGGTGGCCAGCGAGGCGATGGCTTTGGATTCAATGTCGGAGGCAGCCAGAATGTCTGGAGGAGCGATAATGGACGCCATGAGGTCGATGTGAATGCCAGATATGGCCAGCACCTGGGCGGACCCTGGGGTAATTCCCCGCCCAGCTACGATATTGGCACAGTTTATCGCTACAGATTCGGAGGTCATTAAATGCGAACTAAATTATAAACAATCTTTATGTACTGTAGAATATTTTTGAAAATAAATTCCTAAAAGTAACATTTTGTACGTGTTTCAACGGAACTTGGGGTTAAGCATTTGAGCATTTTATATTCTAGACTTTAAACCCCACATCTTCCGTGCGCTTTATCTGATTAAATATGAAATAAATTACCAATTATAAGCATATGTCTACCTGTTCATAATTTCCATATCTAAAATGCCATCAGAGTCCTTGGGTTTCTTCTAAACCCGGAACATTGAGGCTCACATTGTGAGATACTGAGGCTGGGTCACAGATGATCTTGCAGTTTGGCTAATTGTGGATACATCTTGTTTGGCCAATTCGGTTGGGTAATAACAAATTAACAAATTACGATGACAGGCGGTCTTAATGAAACCTGCCAAGAAATTTATCATGCCTTGCCAAATATTACGCCATATCCCCCCGCGTCAACGAAAGCGAATACAATTTGTTAAAAACAAAAAATGGCCAAGAAAAAATGATTCATGAAGATGGCCCCATGTTCTAAGCCCATTTTACAACCGAATTTGGTTATTACCACGTAAGCTTTCACATCATTAATCTGACCTAAAGGAAACCCGAATTGAGTTGACCTTGCGGATGAAGAATGATGAATCGATTCTCGAAGGTAACCGGCGGAACCTGTGGGTTGTTAATTTTTCATTTTTATAGAATCTTGCTGCCCAGGAAATCTCTTGTTTAGGGAAAGCCATCTTGAGTGGGAGTTCTTTAACCAAAAGTTTGAGTTTTTGGTGATTGAAATACAGAAGCTGACAGTCAGTAAAAGTGTGTGAGTTATTAGCTTAATAAAAAAAGAAAATGTCAAAAATCAAGTAAGAAACTTAGAAGAGTTATATAGCAATATTTATATTAAGGGTATATAACATTATTTATACATTACATTTTTTTATATGTATCCTTGCAGAGTATTATAATTTTAGTCAGAACAATAAAACGCTGTGATGAAGTCATTTCCGACCCTATAAATTATATATATTCTTGATCAGCATCAACAGGCGAATCTTTTTAGGCATTAAAAAAAAAACATAAATTTTTGACAATTTTTTCAACATTTTGTAAGGTGCTATAATTGCCAGAAATAAATTATAAAAATTGAATTTTTGAACATTTTATTTTGAGTATGCAGATTTATTACCCTAATGAAAACTAGCATAGGGCTGTTTTCCGAATTAAAATTAATTAATTTTTGGCTTAGTTATGCGTTATTTAAGGCTTTGTTTTTTTCAATCAATTTCTTTCTTCAGATACACACCGCGTATACGTAATTTAAGGGCTTTCACATTAAGTATACGCCATGTAGGCCAGTCAGCTGATCAGATGTATGGAATAACCTTAGAAGGTTGATTCAACTATTTTGAATATGAAATAGAAATGAATACCCAGACCTATGGAAAGACTGAACAACGAACATTTACAAAATATTAAAGAATGATTTTAGGGTATTATAATTTCAGTCAAAAGCTTAAAACGCTGTGAAGCAGTCGTTTCCGACCCTATATGTCATATATATTTTTGATCAGCATCAACGGGCGAATCTTTCTAGGCATTAAAAAAAGTCCATACATTTTTGACAATTTTCCAACATTTTGTAAGGTGTTATTATTGCCAAAAAAAAAATGGAAAAAAAATGAATTTTTTTACATTTTATTTTGAGTATGCAGATTTATTACACTAACAAAAACTAGCATAGGACTGCTTTTCGAATTAAAATTAATTAATAATTGAGATTAGTGCTTTTTCGGCTTAGTAATGATCGATTGTATTGTATATCCGAACCCATAATCCTATGGCAAACCGGAAGGGTATACAATCTTCGGCTTCTCATTTCTTCATTTCATTTCATTTCTTTTTATATCTTGTTACCTTTGTAAATGGTGACACATTTGTAATAAATGCATGTTTATGGCTAATTCGTAATGGCTTGACATTGGCTCCCAGTACTCCCCCTTAAAAACAAAAGAGTGAGTGATGATTATGAGCCCAACTGAACACACATGAGTGATTCCACAACCTGAGTCTCCGGTACATCTTATTGATTGTGTCTGGGTGGGATTTACTTATGTAGATGTACTACATATGACCTCCTTATCAAGTAGCTGTGGGGATCCACAAGTGAACCACAGAACCACAGAACCGTTGGCTTCTCCAGTGGGATTCCCTGTTGGGGAATCATCTGACCAAATTGATAAGCAAATGTCGCTATGATCTTTGGTATAAAAGATCCCGCCACGCGGATTCTAGCCACATTTAGGTGACAGAATCAAAGCAAAATGCAGTTCGCTCACAGCTTCCTACTAATCGCCTTGGCCTGCGCCTTCTCCAGCGCCTGGGCTTATCCTGAACCCAATCCTCAGCAAAAGAATCCACCAAATTTTAATGTAAGTTACATTTCACATAACTTGCTTGAAATTTTAATTAAATTCTATTCATATTGCAGTTCACACCGCCTCCAGATCGTCGTCCTTTCCAACTGAATGGCGGTGGTGGCGGTTCTCCCAAGCAGGGCTTTGATCTGAACCTTAATGCCCAGGCTCCCGTGTGGCAGAGCAACAATGGACGCCACTCCCTTGATGCCACTGGCCAGTATGGCCAGCACCTCGGAGGACCCTATGGAAACAGTCGTCCCCAGTGGGGAGCCGGAGGTGTCTACACCTATAGGTTCTAAAGGCACTGCCTGAGATGCTTAATACCTATGTAAATACTATAACCAACTATTATAAATAAAATGTATTCCCTCCAAGCAATATTTAATTTATTAATATCTTAAATTTATGTAATATATATATTTCAACGCCATGCCTGGCCCAAGTGGAGCTCCTTATCGGTTTGATTGTAGACAAAGATTGTGGTATCAGGCTGCGGAGCGAGAAACTGTGAATACAAAGGCGATTTTGAGTAGGTTTTAAGGGTTTTAAGCCAAGTTTTGACCTCCTGCTGCCACTCGTCCAGCTCTCCAACCGAACGCCCTTGGATGCGGCCAAAGAGGTAGGAAATTAGCCACAGACTCAGAATGCCCAACATTTCACCGAGAGATGCAGCTTCCGACTGAATGTTCGCCCTCGGCTTCCAATTTTAATCGTAATTTTTGCCCTCCCTGCTGATAAGACCCTGATAAGGCCGGCGAGGGGCTGTCGCCTCCGTCTCTCTGGATGTGTGTCAAGTCTAGAGACCCAGAGACCAGGCCAGGTCAAAGCTAAAGCTTATGCCAAGCCCCAGACCTAGCCAAACTGTATTAAATTTTGGGGAACGTGCAACTTGGCAGCCGAATTTGGCACGTTTTCTGTTGAAATCGAAAAGAAGGCAAAACAAAAGCAGCACACCGGATCCAACCGACCAGCAAAAATGGCAAAGAAAAACAAATTTAAATGTTAGAAGCAACACAACAATGAAGGTCAGGCTATGATGACTTTTTTTCAATGCACCAAAACCCCTGAAAAAGAAAACCAAAAAATTATCAGAAATTTCGTTGCGCTTTTGCCTCCGTTTTGTTTTTGAGTCTGAGACTCTCGGCCGTTGTCTTGGGCTAACTGGGCAAGTTGCTTTTTGATAGCTTCAATTTCTGGCCAATTTTCCTCGGAAAATACCCTGTAGCGGGGTATCTTGGAACCGTTTTGGACAATAGCACAAGGGATTCCTTTAAAGGAAATTAAAAGAACTTGGGAGAGGCCCCAAACTTTAGTTGTCTAAATGTTTGCCTTGGTCATATAATATATAAAACCCTTAAACTAAACTTCCGTCACAAATTCCTACTGGGTATTTCCTGCCTCGAATTACCTGGGAAAACTGGCCCAACTTCGCAGAGTTTTCTCCCCTATTTTCCATGTCATTTTCATATGGAGAGCAGTAGTGCTCCATTTCAATGGAAGAGCTATTTTCTAAATCAATGCGCAAATTGTCAAAGTCAAAAGCGGAAGAACTCCTTTTGTTTCGCTCTGTTTTCCTTTTGATGCTTCTGCTGCTGCTGCTGCCACCGAAGAAAATTGGCCCCCCGTCTATGAAAACTGTTTGTGGAAAGCCAAAGAGGAGGAGGTGGAGTGGATTTGGATTGTTTTCCAAATTGCACATGTGGCAGGGGCAGTCAACTCATTTGTCAAGTGGCAAATCAGTTTAGGCCAAGACAGTGAGACGTAGACGCAGAGAGCTACAAAACCGACTTGGAGTCGGCGATAAAATCAACTTTGCATTTTCCATTTGCTGCGGCGAATCGGGGAAAAGAGGAGAAAAACGCTGATCGCAACGATCGACGGCATTTCCCACGCAAACTTCGAGCTGGAGCTAGTTACTATAAATTGTTTGACACACTCAACACTCCAGAGTCTCCTCGACAAGAGTCTTTGATTGTATCGGCAGGCCAACAAACATGGCTAAAATGAATGCCCTCCATAAGGAAAGTTGTGCACACAAAGAACCAAAATGAAGTCGATTTGGGTTGAGAAATGCTGGAAATCCTATAGATTTCAATATAAAGATGTTGATCAGAAACTCACTTGAGCAAACCTTAGATCTTGTTATAAATTCCCCTAAATTATATTATAGCTTCACACTATATATTTTTCTGCGTGCATTAGAAAGTGGGCTGGGTAACCGAGGGCCGTGAAAATCCATCTCCCACTAATGGCTTTTTAATGAAGCAGCCGCCGCCGTTCCTGCCACCAAGAACTTGGCGACTAAGTAACTCAAATTAAGTGTATTTATTATGACTGGCAAACTAAACTGCTGCCACGGCTTCTGGGGGTAGAGAAATGGCCAAGACGAAAAGTGCAAAAGTTAGCAGGTGCCAGCCAGACAGAGTTTTGGCTTTTCGCATTTGCATTTGACATTTGCCAAGATGCGCCGTCGCCAAACTGCTTCCCTCTAGACCGATGGCAAAAAAATACAGAAAAGCGGGATCGCGGCATTTTGGCCTGCTTACTGCATTTGGCCAAAATGTCTATAGTTCAATTGCTGATATTTTGGCCAGACACACGACGAAACACGTGACCTATTGCAGGCTGCGGAGTGGCAATCGCGGGGGATTAACCGAAGAGCGTGAGCGTGAGTGTGAGGCTGCGTGACACGAGAGGAAAAAGAGGAGCGGAGAAAATTGGGGTCATCAAGGAAGATGATGATAATCAAGCATAATTATTAAACTTACAAGTACTGGATTAAATACTAAATTAAATATTTATTATTAGCACAATCTAAGTTTTAATAATCTATGGTTCTTTCTCTATAAGAACTGTAGTTTTTAGATAGTAATAATTAGATATTATATCATATGCTCCCATCTCTATAGATCTTCTCTGCCCTGCGATGAGCAAAAGTTTAATAAATTGTTCGACTTCGATTTAAAATAAATCGACATCGAAATCAAGCACAAATCTTTCGGCACAAAGTTACTTCTGTAGTTTTTTTTTGGATTTCCTCACCCTAATGAAGGTTGGCATTGTGGTGGCTGTGGCTGTGGTGCTATTGCCATTGCTGTTGTCATGCAAATTGGACTCACGTTTTGCACATTAAGCAACCGTCAATTGTTTCAGCAAATGCAATGATTGAGTTCTTGGCACCTGGCCAAGCCTCTGCCATGTTATGGCCCTAACCCCTTGCCACTCTCTAAGCCAGCAGCTTAAGGCCCGCATGCATTGCTCCACAGAGAACCTGGCTAATTGGCGTCCGAGTCCGGCAACCAGAAGTGATGCTGGATGGGGGACAGCTCTGGACAGGGAATGATGCCTCAACTTCATCTCGATCTTAGCAGTAACAGTAAAAATGAAGACAAAATATTTACCGTAACGCATTAAGAGAACAAGAACAAAAGTTACTGATGCTGATGCTGATGTTGCTGTTGCTGTTGCTGCAGCCAGTTGCAAGTTGCCAGTTGCAAGTTGTGCTATCAGTATCAATAGTAATTTGAGGCGGCTCTCTTTGGGGGCGGAGATCGGAGAGGGAAAGCCGCATGATGGTGTCGTAGGTCAGGCGGCAGCAGCAGTTTAAGCCAACTTGCAATTTGTGGCCTACGGGAAGCAGCAGCAGCAGCAGCAGCAGCAACTGCAACTGCAACTGCAACCGGCAACTGCAGCATTGTAATGACGATTTGTAGCCAATTATTTCAAATATTGTATTGAAATTGTAGGCCAGTGTGAGTGTGTGGTTATCTCCCGATTGGCATCTGCAACAACAGGCCCCGGACGGGTATTCCCCCGTCTCCAGCTCTTTTAGTACCTCACAGAGAGAGAAATCGGGAATCATATTTTCAAATCAAACTTCTTTTCTGCTTAATATCATATTTCACGCATCTTTACAGAGGTTTTTCTATAATTGAATCTAAATAAATACTTCCCATTGCTATTTGCCAATCTAAGTACTGATTTTTTCGAGTGCAATTTCCCCAATCTCACGTAGCCCGTCGTCCGAGTGTGTCACAAGTGACCACTAGAAGTCCGAATCCAAGTCCAAGTGGTTTGCCAATCGATGGCGAATCTCGGAAACCTGCAACCAACAAATCCGAGTCTCAGACTCTGCCTCGGCCAAGTCTCCGTTGCGATTCCCACAACCTGACGCATCTTTGTCATGTGTCCGATTAATCATTGAACTCAACCCCGGACTCAACTCCACTCGACTTCGGGTCACGTCAACTACCAACTGGCAGAAGTGGTTGTAGAGGCAGAAGCAACAGCACGCGCTGGACGACCTTTGTGGCAACAGCAACAGCAACAGCAGCATCAACTTCCACCCATCAGCAACATCAGCAACAGCAACAGCAGCAATCTGACATTCATACGTTAATTTTAGCTTGTTGCATCAGTCAGATTGTCTGTGTCATTGTCGTGGATTTACACTCTGCAGCAAAGGAGGTGTAGAATTTACGAAGTTGAATTAAAGATACTTAACTAGGTAACCATGGAAAATAAGTAATTAGTTAATTAGCAAATAAACTCTATTTAAATGAAAAGATAAAATGATAAACTATTCAATATGTTAATTGCAATCTTTGATTGGATTGATCACTGCACATTCTAGGAACATTTCATCTTGTTTATCGATTAAAATAATGACCAATTTATTGGCCCTATATGTCCATTGCCCTAATATTTACGACTTGAGTTAAGGGAATTAAATGGCCACATTCTAGGAATCGTAATCTATGTTCAATAAAGCATAAAACCTCTGCTGCTCAGTGTGGATAACTAATCGAGCACTTAAAATTCAGCAGCACGATCGGAAGAAAGGCAAAAAATAAGAAACAAAGCTAAACAGCTAACAGGTAAGAGCCAACAAAGAGGCCCAAGAATGCAACGGCAATTGTCTCTGCCTGGCAAAAACTTATTAATACCTTATTAGACAAGGGTCTTCTGTGAAGTCTCCATGGAATATCAATGAGACTGAGAACGGCGATGGCGACCACGGTGGCATTTCCGCTGACTACGACGACGGTGTCCCATTGTGCCAGCACCATGGGCGACAAAGCAACGGTGACCGATCAATTCGCGTTTCGGCCATGGCAGTTACAGGAAATGCAATCATAAATCCATAGAGTCAGGGCCCTCCCAAGTCCCTCGAGTCCCTCTATAGCCTCGATGTTTATGTTTATGTTCATGGCCGGGCAATTAGCCGGGCCAAGATCTGGACAGAACCAGGAAGTGTTTTCCTGGCACTCACTGAAGTAGGGTATCCCAAGTATGGCTATGAGTTTTAGTTTGATTTTTTGAAATCTTTAAAATATATGAAAAATACATCTAAAAATTCTAAATACCAACTAGAAATATTTTGTTGTATATTTGTATATTTTCCCCACATTTAAAGGGTACTTTTCAGACTCCCTAGAACCCATCTCTGTTTAAGTCTCTCCTTCTTTTTATTCTGCGGTCTAAACACTTGTCAGATTGCATGTTCAATTCTAATAATATAATCTTCCAGCTGCGGCCTTTATTCTGCACTGCTTTTTTCAGAAATATTTGCGTGCCACCTGGGCATTGTCTCAACGGTTTTCCTCCTTTTTTCCTGGATTTTCCAAGGCATTTGCCTCGCCGGGGTGTCGGCATTACAACATCAT